AACGCGCGAACTTGTCAAGAAGTTATAGATATATCTAGTTCGTCAGATATAGAGAGCGATAATTAATTTAATATATTGTGTTGATTTATTTAGGTGTAAAGTTCTGTGCCAAGAAAAAGTGATCGACTCGGTGATATGATCGACTCGCTGATAAACCACGTTACTTATATTACTAGACAACTATGTTATATATCCCTAATACTTTAATACACGACCTTGTCGTCGCCTATGCTAAGAACCTTGCCGTAAGGATAACCTCGGTTGTATCCCTACGAATACTAGCAAAACCCATATCCTAGTATCAAGGTTTTTCTGTAAAGCTCTTGATAGCCAGAACTGCATTAGGCGGAAAGCATATCAAAAGACTGGTACTGAAGAGCATTATATTGTGGAGAAAGGTGTGGTTGCAAATGTGTTTTTACTTCGTCCCAGCCGAAATAATTTTGATTGTAGGTTTGCTAGGGTGGCTAAGGTTGCCAATAGGGTAAAAACCCCTGAAAAACCTTTGATTATTTCGCCTGGGACGAAGTATGCGGTTGCATTAATGACGTGCTAATTAGCCAATATTTTGGTGAACGGCAGAGAAACTCCTGTTCGCACGTGAAATGGTACCACTACTAGAAAACTGGCTGATTGCAAAATCGTATGTTCCTCTTTCCATCATTTCATAAAGCCCGTAGCTTCTTCGACTTGTAATCCGATCAATCTATCCGGAATTATCATAACGAAAACCACCCAAAGCTCGGGAACCCCGGAAAAATGGCAGACCAACAAGCCCCGCGAAAAGAGGGTAGCAATGGAACTAAAAATAAACAAATAATGCTCAATGCATTTGACATGTTAACAGTTGGACATCTAAGTCCGGGTCAATGGAAGGTATGTATTCCCAGCCTCAACAGCATTCGACAATACTAAGTAAAATATAGAATCCCAAAGATCGATCAGCAAACAAAAGAGAACTGAAATATTGGATTGACCTTGCACAGATCCTTGAGCGAGGAGGTATCAACGCACTCTTCTTGGCAGATACATATGGTGGATATGATACGTATGAAGGGAGCTTGGATAATTGCATCAGAAGAGCTGCACAATGGCCTGTGGCTGATCCGACAATTGTGAGTAGAGGATGACGAATAAATGATTGAAATAATGAATACTGATTCTATTACCAGCCGATAAGTGCAATGGCCGCTGGTAAAGTACTCAGACTCAGATCCTTGTCAAGATGCTGATATAAATGCAAGTGACCAAGAATTTGGCTTTCCTTATTACAGCAAGCACATCTTTCGAACCACCATTTCTATTGGCAAAGAGATTCTCAACTCTTGACCACCTCACTGGCGGCCGAATCGGGTGGTGAGGATCAAATTATTCTTGTACATGCATTTCCCCCATTGCTGACGGATTGCATTCAGGAATATCGTGACGTCCTGGAAAAAAGCAGCATTCAAAGCGATAGGTATTGACACACCGATTGAACATGACCAGCGTTATGAACAAGCGGACGAATATCTTCGAGTCCTGTATAAGCTTTGGGAAGGATCATGGAGCCCAGATGCCATCATCAAAGATACGGAGAACGACGCGTATATCGATCCAGAACTAGTGCGAACAATCAACCATCATGGGAAATATTTCAATCTTGAAACAAGACATATTGTCGATCCTTCTCCTCAGCGGACACCATTCTTGTTCCAAGCTGGTACATCTCCGTAAGAGCCCTCAAATTGCGTTAAAATAGAGGAAGAAACAGCTGACAGAATTCCAGAGCTGGATCCGCGTTCGCCTCTAAGCACGCGGAAGCCATTTTCGTCACTGCACACTCACCTTCTGTCTTAGCACCCAAGATCGCCAACATCCGTCGGCTAGCAAAAGAAGAAGGCCGAGACCCAGCATCCATCAAGTTCTTTTGCACTTTCACGCCCATCATCGGCCGTACTGATGAAGAAGCTCAAGAAAAATTGGCGGAAGTGAAGAAATATGCTTCTACAATCGGAGGTCTCGTCCTTGTTAGTGGATGGACCGGAATTGATCTCTCAAAAATCCCACCTGGAAAGGAAATAACTGAAGAGGACTCGTCAGAGGTACATAAACTAACTTCGTCACTCAGAATCTTCACGACTGCGAGTGAGGAGGTTCCTAAATGGACGCCCGAAAGGGTCGCTGAAATTGCGTCAATTGGTGGTGGACTCGGTCCAGTATCCGTTGGGTCTCCATCAACTGTTGCCGATGAACTTGAGAGATGGGTTCGTGAAGCGGATGTTGATGGATTTAATCTTGGCTATGTCACAACACCTGGGTCTTTTGAGGATGTAGTGGATCTGTTGGTGCCAGAACTTCGGAGACGGGGTATTTATCCTGATACGCAGCAGGAGGGACTTTCGGCTCGTGAGAAGGTTTATGGGAAGGGGCAGTCCAAGTTGAGGGATGATCATACTGGTAGTAGTTATAAGTATGATGTGTACAAGGAAGAAGCTCCATATGTTGCGGAGCAGGAGGCTGGCAAGTGAATGAGGATCGTTTGGTGAGGGAACAATTTTGAGTAAATGAATTAATCAATCTTTTTTTCAATAAAAGTTACTATTTTATCAATGTAGTCAGTTTGTAGTATGTAATATAGTAGTCTCCGTACTAAGTTATAAGAGAACCGTACAGTACATTGTTCTAGATTCGCCTTAAGAATCTTGTTGTGCTGGATCCACCATATCACCTGATGTGGAATCCACTTATTCATTATTGTATTATTATTTGTACAGCGTCCGTATTGAGATACGGCTCCACCTCTCATTTACCCCTTTCTTTCTCATCTTGCCCTTTTTCCTTCCCTTATAAATACTCTGTATAATAGCTTCTCAAACAATCAATCAATTCTCCATGACCTTCAGTACACCACACTCTTCAGCCCAACAAATCTGTTGTGCTAGAATTCCTTGAAAGATTAACGTAATTGTCCTAAATCACTTCGATTAATAACTATATATTAAATTTAATTATGCCAGGTGGCTCGCATAAGTCTTTTAGTTGTATGAGTCCTTTAGGATAATACTATTCTAACCTAGGTGTGTTTAGATTTAAGCCCGAAGTTCTTAGGAAAAACTCAATTACAAGCTTAATTTACTGCAAAACTCTTGAGTGTAAACCCTCTGTAGTGAATAATCTTTTCAAGTACTGGATATAGTGGTTTTCTGGTAGCGTCGCTGGGCGTAGAGTTCTAGTACGGGATGGCTGTCTATGAAGCTATGATTTGCTCAAAACTACGTTTTTTTGACTTGTTTTTGCTTTAAAAAGATAAGGATCAGATGTATCAATGAAAATAGGCGGTCACCATGCTTTTTATAACGTGGTGTTTAGAGCAATAAAAGGTAGTGGGGTGCAGACTAATAGCTTGGACCACTAATTTGGCGAGGGGGGAGGGGGTCGCCAGGGCCATATCGCGATAAACATACTATCAGCAGGATAGCTGCGCTTCACAGCCCATGGCGTAACTGACAAGGATTGATAGGATCCATTTTCCAGTATTCTTAAATTCAAAGATTCCTGTTATACCAGCCAGATTATCTTGATGATCTATCATGGCTTTCTGTAGGAGCGGGAAGGTGTTTTCCTGACAAACCATCTGTCATTTCTTGAGTAGGGGTAGGCGACGCGCAGAATTGAATATATGTTTTCTCAACTCTCACCGATCATTATTAATCTTTCTTTGGCACAGGCCTCAATCTACCTTAAAGTCGAATCTCGCGTGCGACCTAGGGATTTTCCCAATCTTGGACATACATTCGATCACGTGATCCATTTCTCCTAGGTGCAAGAAATAATGAAAATGGCTGGTAAAGTTGAAAGGACTTGGTAATTGAAAGATACAGAACAAATGAAACTAATGCGCTACATTAGTTCCATACTCGAAAAATACATAAGTTTCAACGTGATGGGTGGAGCTAAAAATAGAGGTGATGTGCGTCTCCCTCGTGGCTAACGGCAAAATTAAACATTCGACTCGCCTACAAACAACAACCCTCATTGTCGTCATTGAGCAGACCGGTTCTTCTCTCAAATGAGGCTCAAACAAACTACCGGTAAGCATGATCACCAAATGGAGGCTATAATTCAGTCGATCCAACTCGTGGGATTGAAGTGTAATTTGCGTGCTGACGCTGAGCCACTTCAGAATCCTTCACAAGTCAAGTTCGCGTACTATAACCGCCACTGCCGAATCCCCCTCATTCATGCAGCAAACATGACAAATTCTGAGAATATGACGGATTCCACTTGACCCGTTCAAGCAGCGAGTGCTCTAGGTGCCCTGTCTTCTTCTTTCAGCTTCTCAAAGCAGTCTGTACAAAGTGTTCTACCCAGATACTGCACGATGCTTTAAGATGATACCTATCCCGCACCCTTCGTTCAAACTCTTCTATAATTTGATCACTGGTATTGCGGGTCGAGTGATCGAACTTGGATTGAGCATTCATTTGGCTGACCTCCTCATTTCCGCGTAACCTATCTGTCAGCCGATTATTATCCCTCCAAGCGCTTATGTACGAGTACCCATCATCCTCAGAATCCATCCCGTGTCCTCCTTCGACATCTGAAGCACCTTCTGCGTTTGTGCCATTCTTATTTATCTTGAAACAAACGCCACAAATTGCCTCTCATTGGCTGCCTTGTGGAGGCAATATGACCCAGGCATAGCGACGCTCGCATGGCGTGCCGGCGGATCATGTACCAGGTCAAAGGCTTAGATGGGAACATCAAAATGCGGGAAATTCCTCATCCTTATTGCCATGTCAATACCACGTTACTATTCTTGCAGCCTGCAATCACGTTTGAAGGATGATACGGTGGAGTTTCTACAGCATGACAACTCACTATACGATAAGTTATATAACAGCCATGATTTCTCTGAGAAATCAATTATCAACAGCACAACAGCAGTTATCCACCACATTCCTTACTCTCCTTGTTTCCTATTCTTTTTCTTTACACACTCCTTGATCATCAGATTTCTGTATCTTTTCCAGACTCCTTTTCCCTTTTTCGTCATTATATTTTTCCACAAAAATGTCGTCCAGCGCTGCGTTCATTGTGATTCTTGCCCTTGCTGGCAACGCTCTAGCAGCACCTGCTGCCAATGACCCTAGATTTAACCTCGTTGAGAGAGAAGCATATGATGACGGACGATATCACTGGAAGCCATCTCCCATCACATCAGGAGTAGATGCTTCTTACTCTGAATATGTTCCTCGCCCAACCAAGGGACATGGCCACCCTATCAGTGGAGTTTCCGCTTCTGATTATCCCTTCTCTCAAGCTCCTGTGCCAACAAAGATCTCCACTATCCGACCAGGAAGACCGATTACAACTTCAAAGCCATCTTTCCCTACCTTCAAGCCAGAGACCACCTCTGTCATTGTCAAGACCACCAAGATCAAGACCACCAAGACTGCCAAAGAGAGTGAACCGACTGACGCTGTACCATCTAAAACACCAGCAACAACAACGCCAGTAGCCAAAAAGGAATTCAAGGGTGACGGTACCCCGGCCCAGGGCTGGCCAGGAAGTGACAAGTGGCTTAGCTTTGATGGACTGTAAGTTCTTCTCAGAAATATCTTAGAATTTTTCTTACTAATTATTCTTAGTTGGAACGCCAACGAGAAGAACATCAAGTCTTCCTGCCAAAACGGCATCCCGCAAAACAGTGAAAAGGAGAACAAAAACCTGAAAGCCGCTATCCAGTCAGTCGGCAAAGATGCCGGTGTAGACTCACGCTTCATCCTCGCTGTCGTACTTCAAGAATCTCACGGCTGTGTCCGCGTCGAGCACACCCTATCCCCAGGTGACTCTATCCACAACCCGGGTCTCATGCAATCCCATCAAGGAGAATTCGACTGTGAGAAGTTTGGCAGCAAAGAATGCACCAACGAGCGCATTGTCGGTATGATCCAAGAAGGAGCAGTCCACACCAAGAAGCCAGATGGCTCCGGATTGAAGACTGGTCTTGAGACCGCGAAGAAAGATGGTTCAAAGAGTGATGCTCAGAGTGCTTATTGGTCTGCCAGACTTTATAACTCCGGTGATTTCAGTTATGTTAAGGGGGGAGACTTGAGTAGCACAGTCAAGGCTGCTACTGCTAGTTACTCTTCTGACATTGCTAACCGTCTGGTTGGTGCTGTCTTCTAAGTACATATCGATTCCATTATGTTCGGTTTTCTATACGGATCTTGGAGCTTTGGTCTCCTTGCAATAGCCGGCTACAACTACTTACGAACCATAAGAGCGCAAGCGTTCTGCATTGAACAACATAGGAACTTGCGCAGAACGTGTCCTGGCAGTTTCTGCGAGCATCGGAGTGAACGCAATTACGGAAAATTTTGGGTTATGGTTTTGGAGTGATGCGTTTGTCTCTATTTGTTTCTGTTTGGGTCGGCTGCTGTTCCGTTCTTGGATTTTGTGTTTTCTTTTTTGCGTTTTCACTGTGCTTGAAACCCCTGAGAATGGGCATCCGTTCTTACATTCCTGGGCCGGGGCTGAGCGCCTTTTAGATATTGGCTATATGGGCTTGTGTAACAATACCAAGAATGAAATGCAATGAATTGATTATTAGATCACTCTTTTTACTGCTTGGCGGGAGTTATGGGCATTCGCGGTGACATTTCGGTCGCCCTAGATTAGTCTTCGGTGAGTTGCTTTGCTCTTGACGCTAGTTGGTTAAATTTTACGATGGAAATCCTAAATAAAGAACCCCTGGTATTCTTTTTGCAGCCCGTCTCGGTGGTGGGAATCCTTGTACTTTATGATAGGGGGCTCGTATGACACGCAATCCCAGAGCATGTCCTTTTACTTCTGAGGATGACAGGTAAAGTGGACAGCGCCTCGTGTTATTTGGACCTTAAATATTATGTCAGACTGGCCTCCCCCCTGGAGTCATTTTCTCTGTCACTTCTTTTTTACGTTTCGCTACGCTTTCTGATTAGTCAGATCACCTTTTTAAGCTTAATAGCCCTTGCTTTTGCCAAGTTAAAATATTGAAAGTACCCGCTAAATAGACGTAGATCATCGGGGGGGTCTCGCTATAGGGCGAAATCTGAACTTTTTACGAAGTAGATAACGGGAAACTGTGGAATCTCTGGATTTAACAGACAAGGGTACAAAATCTGCTGCTCCTACTAGATTAAGGCCCTGTTACTCACATCTACTTAGATCTAAGTTATATATAGTGGTCAAAGCGTGCAATTAGAATAATACCAAAACAAAACCGAGTACTACCCTACTTAATACTCCTAGCAAATTCATATCTTTGGAGAAAGCTACTTTGTACTGAAGTACAAAGTGGAGCCTATTCCGGAGATTGAAGGAAAGCCAAGAGACTTGGGAGTAAAAACTGGGTACAGATAGGAGTAGAAGGGAGGAAGGTAGGGAGAAGGTGGACAGTTAAAGCTGGACACTGTCACGCAGATCATATATGAAAAAAGTCCATATCGCCCAGATACGGGTTTCTGATTTACTTGTTTGGATAAGAATCCGGGCCGAGCCGTATTATAGCCAAGGCCAGGGTCCAGCTTTAACTGTCCACCCCCTCTACGTTCAAGACTTAAGGGTTTTCATGCATATTACCTTGTCCTCTACTCCGTACACTCGCATCTCATCACAGCCCACGCCTGAAGAGTTTCCTTTTCGAGTAAGATCACTCCATTGAATCTAATCTGAGTCTGTCTCCCTTGCTCGCTTTCATTACTTATTTATTGTATCCTAGCCTACCCGGCCTACACACTTCCCTCCTCGTTCGTAGATACTGTAAATGACCGCCGTCTAAGGACAACCATTGCAGCGGCATATTTCTGGATTGCAAGCGTACTGTGCCACACCCTGTGGAAGGGAAAAAGTGCGGTTAGTAAGTAGTCCAAGTCTTTTTTTTTGTTTTTGGTTTCCGAATAATGGGATTATGAGGAGGAGGGGATTGCAATTGACGAACGAATGAGAGGTTGATGGTAAAGGAGAACCGAACTGAATCTTAATACTTACACATTTGTTTACGCAGGTGACCTCAGTGCATTTGATGAATAGGTTATTGCAGCTTTGAGCCATGCTAACAGAGGCAAGGGCGACGGTTACGAGGACGCTGAGGAACTTCATTGTTTTGGAGAGGAGGATATAAAAGAATAGAAGGAGAAGGGGTTTTATGGAGCGATGGGCGAATTGTTTAGAGAGCGAGGTACAAGTACGGTAGATAGAGAAGAAGAGGAGAGCAGGATTGACCGCTTTATAGATAAGTGTCGGGAATACGGACGGCGATGTCTTGGTATAAATTTCCAAGAGTTTGAGATTGGCGAAATTGCCGAGACTTGCCATAATAATGAAATTTATGAATCTTTGTACTGTACAAGACGATACATCTACAATCGTCTAATATCTCAAATAGCCAGATCTCACTCTCCACTTCTATCAATCCAATCTTAGTCTAACCAATATACTCGTTGCTGATGATGGTGATAGCGTAGTTTCAATCAACAATTGGGAGGCTGCAGCTTATTTCCCTCATTTTTGTATTTTTACATAAGTCTAGATTCTCGGAGCACTATTTCCTATTCTATTTGTTTCAGGAGGGGATCGAGATAAATGCTCCTCCTCCTCCTTCAACTGAAAATCCCAAAACTCGTAATTCTCCCCTGGAAGAAATAAATTGACGCTTATATCCTGAGCCTAGACGGTCGGTAACAAAGGGGGCCTACCGTCTAAGCGAACCCACTATCGAGCCCAAAAAAATGGATAGATACTTTTTAGCCAGAAAAGGCTCTATGCACAAGAGCTTACACTCCATAGACGCGGCTTTCATAAGCTCTACTTATCCTTCCCGATACATTCCATTGCCCGGTCGTATAGGATTTTCGCTAGTTGTCAATTTCTCGTCATCCCAAAACTCACTATTAACATGATAGATTTATCATAAATCTCTATACTCCTTATTCTCTGGAAATCACTCTAAACGAGAACAGGGAGTTAAGGATGGTGAAACTCCTCTCTAGACTCTCGTCACTTAAGCGAGTACAGGAAAACCTCGATACAAGGATCCTCGATACTGTATAAGGATATCCTCGAGTATATCCTTAAATTATTGGTCCCGATTTTTTTGTATAAGGATTTAAGGATAACCTCGATATAAGGATAATCCTTAGTTTTTACGTCCCGAAATTTTTCTTACACCAAATATACCCTTACTTATATCCTTAGAGGCTAGGATTCTGGCATTTATATTAGTAATCCTCTTAGATTCTAGGTAAATTCTATATATTTTAGGTATAAAATTGAACTTTAGTAATAGGAATTTAGGAATTCCTACGTACACTACTAATACTACTAGATATTATACTACACATTCCTAGTACTTAAATATACGGCCTTGTCGTCGCCTATGCCAAGATCCTCACTATAAGGATAACCTCGGTTATATCCCTAGGAAAACTGCCCCCGAGCATATCCTTATATCGAGGTTTTTCTGTACTCTCAAGGCACGAAAAAGCCGATTGAAAACCACTTTCAGAAAATCAGAAAGATCGATTTACCTGTGCAATTACAGGTTGGTTGCATGCGAAGGGTATCAAACATATTCTAAGGCGAGGAGTTTGTAGGGGGTTGAAGCACTTCTGGAGTTTCGATTACTGCTCTATTTATGGGTTGAGGAATCCATGTCTGCGCCAAATGTTCCGTGCTTTCCTACGTCGAAACAACATTTCAGAAGAGTGGCAGATTTTCACGGTAATTGGCATTTGAGAAATGGCTGTAATTTTAAAATGATAAATTTAACAACGATACTATCCTTGTACATGCATATATCTTCAACAAAGTATATACAATCCAAATAAAGAATAACGAGTCCTTCTCTACGCATGCTTTCCATCATGTATTCCCTACCCCCTTGAAGAACATGCCCTTATCCATTCCCCCCCACTGAACACTCGCCCATCCCAACTAATTGAAAACAAGAAAATGCAACGCCCAAACTTTTTATGTGATAGGAAAATATGTTCGTGCCTATAATGTAAACTCCAATCATGCTGTGGTACTGATGTGTATGCGTATGCGTATGCTCATGTGAGGATGTCTCCCTCGGAGACCCAAGAAGTACTTTTTGTGATTATGAATGGATAGGTCTCCAAAAATAATGAACAAGAAATAGATGATGATATCCAAAGCTGTTATTGTAAATTTGGATGGTGGTTGAACTGGTAACATGAGAGATAGTTTAAATCATGTGCTCAACAACTGGGGTAACAAGATCGATGCTTTTTGGACGGTGTCCATATCCACCAGGTCCGTTTCTGGGCGGTAGTGGCCTGTCCATACCCATACCCCCTGTGTTACCATATGTGCTGTAACTTCTGCCATAGCTGTGCAAGTCTTCTCTGCTTCGGCCGCTGCCAGATGCGTAGCTGGAATGAGAAGCATTGTAGCTGTGGCTTACAGTATACCCAGCATTGTAAGAGTTTCCTGGTGTAGCACTTGGTGTTGGCGCTGTTTTACTACTCGATGTGAATGGGATATAATCCCAGACACCAGAACCGGTACGAGAGATGCTACTAGCATTGCTCTTCGGGGGAGACTCTGGGTCCCGGTGTTTGGAGGATGTTTTCGGCAAAGCGGTAGCTAGCTCCCGAAGACTGGCTAGAGCAGTGCTAGAGTGGGAATTGGTGTAAGTGGGTTGAGGTGGAGATTGAGAATATCCCGCGCTAGATGCTTGATAGGATGATGGATAGGGATCGGAGTTGAAGTAAGATCGTGGACGAGACTGAGTGGGTGAAAAACGAGGGACGATGTCTGGTCCATCGTCGGGGCCTGGAAGGCTCGAAAAATGGCGGGTGTATGGGGTAAGAGGCGGGGAAGTTGGGGCTTGAGTGGATGAGTATGAAATTGCACGAGTTGGGTCAGGACGCTGGTCATAAAGACGACAACTAGTCAGGAGTCAGCATTTCGTCCAAGATAAGCAATCGTGCCGTAGCGAAAAAAGCAATGCGTACGCTTCGGAGCAGTAAAGGAAGGTGTTGGCGGCTTGGAATTGCTTTTCGCACGACGTGCTAGGTTATTCGTCAGCGCTGCATGTACATGGTTGCAATATGCACCCCACACTATTCATCCCCTTTTGAGGGGTCATGAGGATGGTGGAAGTGTGTTCCTGGGGAACTCTTCCAGCCTCGCCATTTCTGGCTGGCATGACTGAATGAATGGGTGCATGAGCAAAGGAAAAGAGCTTACCAGAACTGTGGAAATCCCTCTCCATTATTATCCCTGACAGTCTCCTCCTCTTGTTCTCGCTCTCGAGTACTTGTCCTACCTCCACTGTATGATGTGGACTTCGTCACATACTGAGGAGAGGTTCTCCTGCTAGCCGTAGGTCTGGATGACTTCTTCTCCGATGCTGTATTATCACGTCCTGATTTCCTCCTCGGGTGGTGTCTCTTCTCGCCATGGGGACGGGGAGATACATGAGGAGGGGAAGCGACCACTGCGGAATGAGTTTGTAGGGGTGGGGGGCGTGAGTGAGCCAGCTTGTCGGTTTTGAGCTGAATTGCTCGCGATTCCGTTTGAAGAGAAGGAATCAAAAAAATATAAAATGGAACTGATGAGGAGGTAGGCCGGTTGATGTACAGATTAGACGGGGTCTAGAAGCTGGATCGGCGGCTGGGATTGAGCGATGGTGTATATGGTGGTAGGGGTTGCGTCTTGTGAACTTGGGTGATGATCCTCGTGATGGTTGGCGCTGATGTGATAAATGATTAAAAGGTCAGGTAGAATATGAGGTACCGTGAGCAGAGTTGATAAGGATCGTAGTGACTCTTTTGTCTCGATCCTCGGCTGCTCCAGGTGGGTATAGGTAAGAAGAGGTGCAGGTGGGCTGCGATAACGGATGGTTGAGTGGTTCCCAGTTAAACCTTGCCACGGCTAGCGAGCTCACAAATGATGAGCGGGCGGGCGCAGTTGCGGAACTTGACGGAGGGGTGTCCTTTGATATTCTCCAGTGCACCGATTTCTGTATTCTTATATATGAAAAGTCCGAACACGGAGGGAAATTATCGTGAAGGTGTTGTGAGACGAAGGACCGGATGGTTGGTTATGGCCGGTGCTGTTATCTGACGCCTGTCGGGGAATTTCACTGGTGTTGATAGGAAAGGGCGGGGCGAAGAGGGGAAGTTGGTGCTGCTGATCGAGAGTGCAGAGCTTTGAGAGCACCCACGTACCCAGATACGAGCGAGTTTGAGACACGCGAAGAAGCACCAGGTCGGACAGGAAACCCCTTTGCACACCACCAAGTCGATGGTGTTATCGACGAATGTTTTTTTTGGTCTTAGAAAAAAATATTGTTGGGTTGAGGTACAAAATTGAGGTCGTTGCGTTCCGGTGCGCTGGTCGATAGCTAGCTGGTAGGCACAGGTACAGTGCAGAGACTATATATAAGGCTCTATGCGGGGTATGGGCCGCAAAACAGAATAAGCACTTGGTGACTTGGAGCAACAGGCACGCTCAATTGGTTGTTTGGGGTATACGATGGCGTGCTGCAAGTAGCGCTGTAAAGGGGTAATCTGCTAAGCGACAAGGTTGAACGGTACAACGAGTATTGAGCGCTTTTTGTGACGCAGCACTTAGTTGAAGTCGTGCTTTGCTCTCGAAATTGAGTGAGTTCCAACGGATGGAAGAATGACTGAACCGAATTGCGTGTCCGGTACTTTTTAAGCAGATGGATGTCCGAAAATAACACACCCACTGATTTCTCAACGGCGTGGCGCCGAAACAATCAATTGGCGAGATGCGGGGGGGATTTCGTAAAGATGCTTGACAATGGGCGCGGCAAGGCTTGGTTGTATAACAAATCCAAACAAATCCAAAGATGATACTATCATCTGCCCGCCCTCTGCACCTTATATTGATGGGTTCCCTTACTCAGGGTGGATATGTGGAGGACGAGGAGATAGGCGCGGGTAGACGTCCGGGGATAGTTTAGTATAGCTAGCTACTTCGTACCTACGACGTACATACAGTACCTAAACGTGGACAACAAGGTAGCCACTTTTCATAAACTTAATTGCGACAAAGGGTTTGGAAACGATTGGATACTTATAGAGAATAGTTGTATTCTACCCCGTACCGAATGCAACAAGACGCCACAGAAACGTGCTGGATAGGCATATTGGCGAGGCCGTCGTCTCCACTCGCCTCCAACTCTGGAGACTGGAGGAGCTTTTCCCCACTCAATATTCCCCCACATCCTCTGGCAGACGAGTCAGCTCGTCTCCCATGCTCTCCAAGAGAAGCGGTGCATGTTGCGTGGAATTATACTTTCTCACGAATGAATGATGACAGAATGTGCTCAAGAATAATAATGCAAGCCGCAAGAACGGTGAGCCAGATCCGCCCCGGAAAAAGACGTGAGTTTCTCAGACCAACGTCTCAAGTCCGGACCTCGGGCTCCTGATTTGTACTCGTACAACCTCCCACTATACCGCACATATGAGTACAGCCCACCACTTTTTGGCTACAGTATACAATAAATGGTCGTACGCATGCTTTGGAAAGGAAACCTCCCGACAGAATTTCCCTTTACGAAACACACACCACACACCACGCATCGCGCATCACGCACCTCATCTGTTTCCAGCAACCCAACCCAACACGACACCCAATTGAATATATTGGACGGGCGCGGGGCTTTCTCTCATATCAGACTCACGACTCTCCTTGGACTCCTTACCCTCAGGTACCATTGTCACCCTGGGGGAAGGTAGAGCGGGTGGAGAGTCTCGACGCATAATAACGGGACTTGGAGAAGCACCGAGAATTCCAAAACTCGCATTGCAGCGGTCTTGATATCCACTTTTCAACCTCATCCTTCGCATCGTGAGATATCATTCCCGTCTCCAATTCGTCCAGGACAAATGCTCGGAAGAATCATGCATACGTACGGTACCGTAGTAACCCAAGTACCTTTCGATACCAACAATCAGAAACGCAAGGTACCGTGGGGTTGATAAGCTCCCAGAAAGACCATTGACCACGGAGAGAAGGGAGAATATACCCAGAATACGACCGGATAAAGGCGTCAGGAGGGAATGGGTGATATAGAGCCTCGTTACCGTGAACGCGGTGCCTATTAATCCTATCGCAGCACCTTCCGGGATGCTGTCTTGAGGTAGGAGGGGGGGTGAATAGAGGGGTTCTCAGGATTCGTGCATAATTGATTCTCTGTTTATGTACCTTACCCTCCTTCCTCAGCTCTGTCAGCGACAATTCAAGGCAATTGGATGACTTCATTAACCTGCCATACTTTACAAGCCTTCACCGCAGAGCTCTCGCTGCGGGAATAGATTAACTTTCTGCAGGCCAAAGCCTTTTCGGTTTCTATCCAGAGAGCTCAAGGAAGGTACTTTCCGCCATCCAGGTATCTTGAGGACTCTTCTGGTCGCTTGAAGATACCTGGATAGCTTACTTTGCACCATGAAAGCATCACAGTATCAAACCAAATATACGCCTCATTTGCGAGGTTAAAAATAAGCCCCAGTGGGTCAAAACGAAAGCTTTACGGAGACTCTACCAAACGACCGTTTGACCATATCTCCATTCAGACATCGACAACGCACCCCATCTCCAACCTCAAACAAGCCTTACCATGAAGCTCGTCCAAGTCCACACACCGGACTTGGTGGACTCTGCCCTACCAACATTTAGCCTCAAGGGTGATCGACATGTCGCATCGGCAAGTAGACTCACCAACCCCCTCAACCAACCTGAGGAAGGCCGTTCACGACACCCACACCGAAAACCCAACCCATACCGGTACAGCAGTCCATCGAATCCAGAATGCTCGAACGCGATTGCGTAAACAAGACACCGATTTTTCTCCATTCCATCTCCAAGGCATCCTTCCCTACAAAGCCAATAACTTCGCTCCAAAGTCAATAAAGCCATTCCGTGCTATATTAATTGTAAACAGACCGAAAGCCCGTTAGAGAAGCCCGGCAAAAATCAGGGATACCAAATAATGATATGATCTCTCCCATCTCACAAAGGTACAGATACACAAGACATACGTGGGCGGGAGGGGTTCATCAAAATCAGAAAAAGACGTTTGTAAGACCCGATAGCTCATTTCCTGCCCGCGTCGGACAGTATAGTAAAAATGTCAACGTCAGATAAGGAAGTACCGGTAGACCTTTTTTTTCTTCAAAACTTTCCACTTGGCCGTGTGTCGCGTGTGTATTTCCTTTGTCTGTTTTGGGTATGTAGATCACCGCCTTTGAAAGAACATGTCGTGAAGCCATGATCCATCCACCTGGGGGGTTTGTGACCTCACTGGGCATCAATCTTCGTTCTCGATCCTTGATTTGGAAGGGATTGGGGCTGTATTACTACCACCCTGTGTGTGGTCTGATGCGGAGGGAAATATTTTCCGAAGAATGGGGGTGGGGTATACAGTAGACTTTTGTTCTAGAAACAAGGGGAATAGAGTAGACGTTCTTGATTGGAGACCTGGTGATGTAGTATTACAATGAGAAAATAATCCCCGAATCTAGTTTTCTAAAGGGATGAAACACCATACAACATAAGTAGTGTACTCGTATTCTCATGTCACGTTGGAACCTGGAAGAATCAAGTCCCGTTGTATTCTTTGTGACTTGGTTCCAGAAACACGCTTGAGCAACAGATTGGTTGGTAACCTTGCGGGATGAAACCACTGCCATGAGTAAGGAACTTGATACGTGCTACAGCTTTGTAAGATAAAGATCGACAAATGCCGATTCCACAAGTTCCCGCTGCCTTATGCTATACCAAGAGATGTGTAGATAAATGACTCCAGAAAAGGCCAGAAGCCTTGATAGGATAGCTACATGCTTTACTTAGTAATCTTACAGTGCTTGTACTCTAAGTGCAAATGCCCTAGTAACCTACACCTCGATTCCTAAAAACACAGTACAAACCACTCCACTGTTGTCCTCAATATGGGAAACTATGTCTAGCCTATACTGTACCAACGTTTGAAAACAACCAAAATAGTCATCCAGCACTCAGGATACCCAACTCGATGGATCCACAATTCTTTGCTTGAACAACTCACTATCATCACCTAATGAACCACCAACAAACACATTACTCACACGACTTCTACCAATGTAAAATCCATACGATCCAACAGAAAAATCTTCGAGTTTCCACTGCCACTTCCTACAATCTATATTCCCCACGCTGATCTCCAATTCCATAGCCTTCAAATCCCACACCTCTCTTCCACATCACCCTAGAAGAACCCAAAAAATTGAGTACTCAGTATCTACAACATCCATGATCAACCAGGATAAAAAGAACCTCTGAACTCCGCCCTAACAACACCAACCAAACAAACATCCAGATGACATGCTATCAAAACCCTCATCACCCTCATCACCCTCATCACTCTCACCGCCTTCCCACCACATCCTCCAATTGCATCCCAAGTAACCCATCCATTCAAGCATCATCCCTTTCCAAACTGCGCGAAATTCGGTAGGTAAGGAAGTCGGTGAGTAGGTAGACAGTTCAGAGTTCAGACAAGGAATCTTTCCTATCCCTTCAAGAGTACCTAGGATCAAAAAGAACGTGCAGCCAAAGAAGATACAAGTAGACACAACAACTGGGTCGAATTGAGGCTTAATAAATGCTTGGGAGGCTACTCTAGTTGGTTGGACGGACGGCTTTGTTATATGGGATAGTTGTTGTAAAGTAGATACATTCGCTCTACTTTGAGCGCACCTTTTTTTTAATCCTCGATACTCTGGTAGAGATACATTGTGAAATGTAAGTGTAGAGCATATATAGCAGAAAGGTATTACAGTCTAGGTAAACGTGTAGGATCTAAGGTCGAGTTGAGTTAAGTAGGTACTCTACTCATCTCCACTCACACGGTGTATCACTTGTCTGGCCAAGTCGAGTAGTACTCGAGAACTTGAACATTTTTCAATCACGTTGCACCTTCTCAAGGAATGAATTCGATACAGTAGAGAGTTTCCAGATATACATTATCGTTGTACAAGAGTCTTCCCAGATACACGAAGACCATGATCTCTAATCCCCGCATCATAACAAGTCAGTCCTCTAACCCTCTAAAAGTAAACGCCAACGCGCCATGATCATATATCCATATCCGCACAAGAACCAGTCCCCTATTCAAGTACAAGTATCATACACGCGGCTCCCTACCACGCTGATCCACCTCCTCGTCCGCCTGCACCACCGATGCCTCCTTTCCCGCCACTGCCGGCACTTCTTCCTTCTCCGCCACCACCTCTTCCTCTCCCAACTCGGGGAGGGTCAGCGACGACGTTGAGCCCTTTGACGCCCTTGAGTCCCATCTTGCCTACTGTCGTCTTAGCGATAGTAGGTGGCTCAGGACACCCAAGACCTTCTTTAGCGAAGATGTTGCCCTGTCGGACTAACTCTTCACTGTTCCAGCCCATAGCTTTTACATGATTTTTGTAGTATCCAAGCCCTGTTACAACACAATCAGTACATGCGGATTCGAAAAGAAGTTGAGGATAATAAGGTATTTGGAGAAGAAAAGTCTCGAAAAGGGGAGGAGTAAAACTTACAAGCTTGGTAAGTCTTTGGGTGGCTCTCCAGTCTCTCCACAATAGCAGTGACATCAGACTTAGCACTCAAGTCTGGCTCCGTAGTCTCAAATTGAATTTCTTTCAAACTCCACTTTGGGAAAAATGACTCGGGCTCAGCAACAATGAATGTGCCTCTCCCCTCAGCACCCGCACGACCTGTACGGCCTAATCGATGAATGTACGACTCCTTATCAGACGGAATACCAACCTGGAAGACGTTTGACACACCAGGAAAATCCATTCCTCGAGCAACAACATCTGTAGCTACAAGGATCCCATTCTTGGCCTCGCGATAGGCATTGGTGGTTTTGGTTCTCTTACTTTGACTTACCCGCGAATGCAGAACGCTAATCGTGGGCATGTTTGGCATCTTCTCGAGAACTGCGCCATAGAAATCCGCAAGTGCCGCGGTGGGCGCGAAGATTATGGCCTTGAAAGTGTCTGCACCTTGCAGGGCAATCTCACTTCGCAGGGAGCCGACCAACCCAGCGGCAACATCTGCAAATTTAGGGACGGTAATGAGATGTTGTGGTACACGCTCATGGGTCTGTTGCTCGCCTTCTGGAATGGTCGAGATGAATTTGTAATCCTTTGATAGAACAAGATGTGCGACCTTCTGGACATGAGGAGCGATGGTGGCAGAGAACAGCATTCCTTGTCTATTAGTCTTCTCCTTGTCTGGCAAGCATCTGATGATATCTTTGAGGGCATTCATGAAACCCATATCAAGTAATCTATCAGCTTCATCGAGGACGAGTGTGTCAAGATTACTGAATTTTTCTCGGACACTCTCGTCACTAAGATGATCGTAAAGACGGCCAGGTGTGGCAATCAGAATATCACAGCCTTCCATAATCCTCGCCCCCTCGGTAATCTTATTTGTTCCTCCGATCGCAATTCTAATCTTGTACTGCGGAAGTCGTTTTAAGAGCGCGGTGGCCTCTTTAGCAATCTGCATGGATAGTTCGCGAGTAGGAGAAATGACGAGTAAAGAAACACCTGCGCCTGGCCGTCTCTGTTTATTGATGAGGGTCTGAATAGCTGGCAGCAAAAATGCTATCGTCTTTCCTGTCCCAGTTTTTGCTTGTGCGAGGCAATCAATTCTGTTCGCGAGGAGATCGTGAAGAGTCGCAGCTTGGACGGGCATCATATGGTCGAACTTGAGGTCCTCGGTGATGGTCTTTAGCATAACAGGATGAATCAGATTCTCCTTTGCCAAATCTGCAAATCGTGGAGTATCCATAGGGATAGCTTCTGAACGGGGAGGAGTCGCAACTCGAGGAGGGCCGGATGAGGCTGCTCCAGCTGGAACAGCATTTTGTCTGGGTGTTGCATTTGTTCCGAATGCCTTCTTCCCTCTGTAGGGATGCCTTCTGGCGGGGTTTCTCTTTGATGATTCTTGCATGGTGACGGTGAGAAGTGTTTGCAAGAGTGGTAGCGGGACTTGTCGAAGTCTTAAAGGGTTTGCTGCGATGGAAAACATTCTCCTTCTCGCCTGCCTGTGATATGGTATGCAACAAAGAGGGCCTTGAGCGCGTCTCGTTCGCCCAGGAAAAAATTTACCACCAGCGGCCTTATCGGGATCCTTATCAGAGCACCCTTGCGAGTACCAGGTAAATTAACAAGAGTGAATAGGGGCTCGGGCCACACGCACTCACGAGCCACACCCTCCAACTTCACACAGCGTATCATCCCGCATATTTTCTATATATTTCTAATTTCTCACACAATTCAGCCAAAGGAAATTGTTCAAAACTCATTAGACCATTCTTTTGTAATGGAACTCTTTTGCTCACTCAATTACATTAACTAAAATCTAACAAACCCAGATGTATATCTTACCGCCCTCCCATTTTATTGCCTTGTTCAACTCCCCTTCCCTTTGATAATAAACACATCTACCCGTGCCCCATTAATTCATTCATATGTACAAATCAACCCCTCATCATATACAATCTCCCTCCCCTACTCATCAACCAACCCGACGGGCGCACTGTTCCCATTCCCCTTCGCCTTCAGCTCATCAAACCAAAACAAACTCATCCTGCTACTCGCCCCACAAGCCTCCGTCGCATTCCCAGGGCACGCGAAGTTACACTGATCATCCGTTACATTCTTCGCCGGCGTGGCTCCAGTGTTTCCAACCAAATTCAGCTTATTCGCACACCAGCATTCGCGCCCGTATTCCACGCCTGCGTATTTGTAGTTGGAGCAGACGGAGAGACAGAGAGGGATGGTCATTGCGGTTCTATTGTTGAGGACTTGGCTTTGGAGGAGTCTCCCGGAGGATGGCTCCGAGACGCAGGAGTAGTATGTGAAGTTTGAGTTTCCTAAGGAGACAAGGGGTCCTGTTGGTTTGGGTGCTGAAGGGAGGGCGGATGTTGAGGATGGGACTTTTGTGGAAGTTGACGAACTTGATATGGTGGATGGAGAAGTGCTTGCTGAGCTTGTGACACTTGTACTGGTCAGACTAGTCGAGGTGAATAATGTTGAGCTGGCCGAAGAGGATGAAGTGAGGCTGGTCACGGATGAAGCACTAGAAGCTGTGTCGTTTTTGAAGTAAACATTCAGTCTGTTCGAGGCTCCGCAATGAGAGCTCTTATCACCAGCGCAGGTCATGCTGCACTCGCTGTCTTTGACAAGGAGAGCGCCGAGACCAAAGCTATTTCCACACCAGCATCTAATTACCACGGTCAGTACAGTGCTTCTCCAACAATAGCAGGGGGGCCAATAGGTGCTTACTCGCGTGAGTATTCCATTCCGAAATACTTGAACTTAGAACATGATGCTGCACAGCCGGGAACTGTCTGAGTATCATTGGGAAATGATGCTCCACCAAGGGCACGAACATGAGTCCCCTCAGTATAACACCCAATGTAGTTGTAAAGCCCCGCGGACGGAATGATTGTCGGGCCAGTTGGTGCAGCTGACGATGTAGTGGAAAATCGAGATGAAGACAAGCTTGTTGAGGTTGTTGTAATTGGAGAAGTTGGCACAGAGGTTGAAGAACCTGGGGTTTGGTTTGCTGAACTACTGCTGCTCGTTGAGATCGGTATTGTCGTGCTGGTAGGACCTGTCAAGGGAGGCGTCGATGATGAGCTCGTTAGCGAGGTGGAAATAGCCACTGTCGAGCTACTACTGCTCGCAGACACCGATACAGATGTGCTAAAAGTGCTTGTAGCAGAAAGGGAAGTCGACGAGGTCGCCAGAGTACTCGAGGTGACCGTCGATGAGATACCTGTCACATTCAGAGCATATAATTGGAGGCGACTTGAAGCACCACAGTATGTAGTCTTATCACCAGGGCAGAGGAAGTCACAATCAGCTTGATTGGCAACTTTTGTACTTCCTGTAGCAATAGTATTTCCACACTATATTGAAATTAGCTTTGTTTCCTTGACACGAGTATGTTTGTGTATCAGGAGTGACTTACGTAACATTCACGTCCGTACTCTACGCCAAAATACGCAGCTTCAGAGCAGAAACTTGAACATAGTTCCAAAGTCATAGAATCATTGGTATAGGTTGACTTAGATAAAGCTCGACCCCCTACGGTTAATTCGTTATAGCAACCTTGGAATACATAGTTGCCAACGATCTGTCTAATTTGAGGACCACCGGTAGCAGTCGGAGCGGGAGAGCTAGAAGTCGTTGGTGTTGGAATTGGAATGGTCGTGTTTCCGTCGAAGGATCTCATATCTGCGAACAGCGAAATATAACTCCCGGTGCCATCAAGTCCATCACCTCCGCAGATCTGATTCACATCTCCAGCACAAGGAAAGTTGCAATTGCCATCTTCAACTTTCAAATTAGGAATTGTAGGTCCCGTCCAGCATTCTCGATTATATTGTGTTCCACAGAATGTTTGTCCTGCCGCAGCACATGCGGCGATACACATTGCCTGGGTATTATTGACGTTGCTGTAAAGCTGAGACTTGAGCTGCCTTCCTGGATTGTCTTCCTTGAAACACCCGGTATAACGATAGTAACCGAGGCCATTAGATTGAAGAGGGGCCGCTTGCTCTGAGACGGCACCACAAGTGAACGGAATGTCTTGTTTACTAAACTCTAGATCATTGACGTTCATAGTCCAGTGAGCATCTCCAACGTAAGGATCCATGTTCCATTGTGATTTGGGCACCGAGCAGTAGAGAGTTGCTGTAGCATTTTCCCCTGGCTTGAGAATAGTGCCCTCGGCGAGATCGATTTGGTTGTTGGCTCCAATAATTCCAGGGATACCAAATGGAGGTTTGGAGACAGTGATTGAGAGACTGGCACCATCAGTGGTGGCATTGTTAGTAACACGCAGTTTGAGCTGCCGTGTGGTATTCTCAGTAACGTTTCCAAATGTGAAATTAGACCCCTTTTCATATTTCACCCAGTCATTTCCATCAGGAGTTTGAAATTCGACCAGAGCCACGGGAGCTGATCCAGCTGTGCCAAGAACATCAAAAATCTTGGTTCCACCGTTTGATACAACGTTTAGGTAGGCCGCGAAGTTTCCCGTAACTGAGGTGTCGAAGTTTACCTGGACTGTGACACCTGAGTTTCCTGGTATCGTAGAGGGAAGGCCCATGAATTTGAACGAGCCAGCTTCGGGCTCTGCTGCAGTTCCATTTGCAGGAATAAATGGACCATCCTCACTTTTGATGGAGTATTTTATCTCAGGAATCGACAGTGGGGAGTTTCCTAGGTTGTTGAAAAGAACAGACTGGTTGACGCCTCCCACTTGATTTCCAGCAATCACGGCCTGGAATGCTAAAGTGAGTGGACTGACTTGAAGTAAAGCGTTCACACTCTGACCGGTACCACGAAAGCTGACAGGCGTACTGGTACTGAACCCAGCAACATTATTAGTCGTGCTTAGGATGACGTCTGATGATAATGGCCCCACTGCTTTTGGGTTGAATACAGCATCAAAACTGAAAGTTCCGCCAGTTTCTATGGTCGCTGGTATGGAGGGCATGTTTGATATAACAAAGTTTGCATCTCCTGTCAAAGTAGCATTACTGATTGTGACTTGAGAAAGAGCGGTACAGGTAATTTTCTTTGCAATCGTGGCATTATTGAGATTGGCAATACCGAAATCATACGGCGACGAACAATTTAGAGGTAAGTTGACGGGAGAACCGAATCCATATATGAAGCCTAGGGTAGTGCCAACGTAGGCTCTTCCGTCTCCAAACACAGGCCGAGTAAATTTTGTCGTTCCAGGTATGTTGAACTGATTTATTTGAGTCAATAGACCATTTTCTGGTACGGCTTTGTAGATTTGCAAGTTAAAGCCCTGAACATCACTTGTCCATACAAGACCTGTTCCAATTTGTCCATTGAGAGAAGTGACAGTACCATGTCCCACACCCAAAACATATGCATTTTTACTAGGACTATCGGCGACCTTGGTGAAAGAAGGAATACCAGCATTGCAAGCAAACTTGAAAACATGAGTAGGAAATTGAATGACTAGATATTTCAAGGTCAGCATGGTTACTCCAAGCAGAATGAAATGCGAAAGCGGGAAGGGAGGAGTACCATTGATGTAGATGTAGCCACCTTCCAAAGGATACACACCGGCACCGGCATATACTGAGTTCTCATTTTGGTATACTTGGATGACATTATCGAGTTTATCAGGACCAATTTTGTATCCTCCCAAGTCATCAAGGTTCAACCAGTAAGTCTTTCCGCTTTTTCCTGTAATGACCCCAATGCGCTTGACATCGCCACAAGAAAACTCGCTTGGTAGAATTTCCAAAGGAGTTGTTCCCAAGTCCTTATCCGCACCATCCAGTTGTTGTTTTTCCCAAGGCATGAAAAAATCTACTAGTGTAAGACTCCCATCATCATTGATCGTCATGTGAACAGCTGCCTGCTCGATTGCAGTCGGCGGGTTGCGTCCATTAACCGGGATAGTAGAAAGCTGGGAGGCATATCCGTTTCCAGTACCGAAAAATATCGATCCAGCATCATCTGAAGCGATGCCTCCTCCTGACATCCAGATACCACCACCTGGCGTCGTGTTGGGAACACCCTCGCCTTCCGTTGACCATCTTTCTACCGTAGCGCCGGTGGTTTTGTCCCAACCCATGATCCAGCCCGTAAAGTTGTATTGAACACAGTGAGAAGCAAACCCCGCATATATGTATTGTCCAGTATGAAGGAGAGCGGGTCGCTGGTGATGGATACCGCCATTGAAATTCCGCGTGGGACTATTCCTCGCCACGGTACCCTCCAAATCTACGGGGAAGTTTGGCCGTTCACTAAGATCATCGACGCTGATTGCGTGGACATAATAACGTCCGTCGGGTTTTCCTTGAGCACCATTTCCACCGTTTTGATTAACGTATGTTTTAGCCGTCAGGTACAAGGTATTGGTGTCGGGATCAATCACTCCTGTCGCGGTAATGCCAATATGAGGTTGGATATCCACACAACCATCCAGATCTGCAGCCAGAAAGGGAATGTGTAGATTTCTCTTGAGTATAATTTCTCCGGTCTTTGCGTTCATTTTGTAGACGTTGTTCTGGGCGGTAGCGACGTACAAATACTGTACACCATCCGAGGGCGTCGTGTAAACCAATGGCTGAGAGAAGATCTGTTCCGGGACATTATTGTACCTTCCTGGTAGGGTGGTCTTGAATAGTTGGCCAAATTGCGGACTCCCAACGATTGAAGGATCCATGTTATGATTACTGAGTGTGGGTTAGCTCTGTACAACTCGGTAAACAAGTTCGAGGGCACCACTGAATCATAGAAGGACAAGTATCTAGCAGCGCGTATAAATTTGGATAGAAGAGGAAAGTCTCCGAGTCACTGGTACTCTTTGGGTTTATCCACATCAAGCTTTGAGGAACCAAGGAAAAAGAAAGAGTCATTGCAAACCTCTGATAGCCAGTTCTTGAATTGTCACCACCCCAAGTGATGGTATCAGTCAAACCTAACGCGTCAACATCGCGTGAGAAGAGAGCAAGCATGCAGGCCAGAACGAAGGCGGTAGCCAAAAGGCGTGGAAGGCCCGCTATGGAGGCTGAAAACCCCATGTTCAGTATATATAGATATAAGAACAAGGAGGAGAAAGTAGGAATAATGAGTGGAAAGCAGACGAGACTGCTGGGACTAAGCGAAAGAACCCTTTTGTCCAAAAGATGACAAAAACCACACACGCTCACCTCAATTGAGGGCGGTGCATGTTGATATATTCTTCACAAGATCGGAGTGGAAGTGGAGGTGGAAGTGGTGAGCAGCGGCGAGGACGGGAGGGGATGCAGGGGAGAGGGATGCTGCAGTGCAGATTAATCGGCTGCTATCTTCCCCACCCCCCCTGCAACCCCGAATGTCGACAAACAAAGCTAAGAAAAGAGTGCAGAGGGACAATTGTTTCTACCTGATGCAACATCAAGTTGTTGGATTTCCAGAGTTGCCTGCGAAGAAGAGTTACCAACAAAATACATCATATCGTATGCTTTCCAGGATGCTTGAATATGAAGCGAGTTCTGCAGACGATTCCTGGAGTCGGGATCTCCACAGTCCTCGGTTGGCTGATTTAAAGGGGAAGGAGCTCGCGTCCAACCATTCGCTGTGGACGTTGATGATCCCCACCATATACACCCGCTGCAGCTGGAGCTATCACTGCAAACAGAAGGGCCATGCAGGAACCAGCATCGTCTTGCAGGGGAGATGGCCCCAGGAAAGCATCTCGAATCTCGACCCTCGAATCCAATACTTCCACCAAACATCTCCATCCCACTTGCACTTGCACTGCTGCGCAGATTTAGGTACGTAGAGTGGCACTCGTACCGGTCAGATCTTACCCTCTGGACAGAAGACCACGCTGGTGCTGGTGTTTAGATACGAGTATCTCGGCATTGTCGCCCTACCGAGGGTCTGTAGCAGATACGAGCCCCATATTTGTATGGCCCGAATGGATTCTCTCGTGGCGACCATCACGGCATCAACAACATCACCATCCACCGAGAAAGGGTATGGGCATTCCCACCGTTCCATGGCCATGCTTTGTGAAAGGAGTCAGTGACACCTGTGGCCTGTCACTCGAGTTTCTCGTTTCTGTACACCGGAAGCCAGTCATTGTACCAGAGGTTAGACGCTGAGGTGAAGCAGTCAATGTATTGTCTTCTCGGCCTTGCAATCATACCTCGCCATGTGGAGTTATTGGGGTGCTATCTAGTCGCTGATTCCGGATTGCTAACGTCTTCCTACTTTGCCTGCCGCCAATATCTCGAGACTGCCCGTTCTGGACTGCAAGAGAAACGTTGACGCCAGGCTCCAGCTCCAGCTCCAGCTCCAGCTTCCAGCAATTTGTTACCCGCAGAGAAGTATTGACCGATGCATGCAGGCGTGCATCGACCCGCTGGAGGCTACCAAAGTGTCGATCAATGGCGCTATCAATCGACCGACTTCCGCCTCAGTATTCCCTACACAGCATGCAAAAAAACACTCCGAATCGAGTCATGATGTGTTTCATGGATGAAGAAACACCAGAGCTGGTGACGTTGAGGTGTGTCTTGTGTTCTCTTGCAATCTGCCGCAATGTTGAGAAAACGCTGTGGGTGTCTCACCAACCTAAGGGTGGCTGCAGCAAACGTGTGGTAGCGTAGCCAAAACCGCCACTAGTTGCACCAAACTCCGATGCTCGCTTGAAAATACAACATCTGCATATTTCGACATGTGTCACAAGTCTTCGATGTGGTTGCAAGTGCATTCATGTTGAGAGCTGATTAAGCTCGGCTTAGGATGCTGCTCAAGAAAAGGAGGAGACCCCTCCACATCAGCCCATGAAAGATATTATTGCTAATTAACTACCGAAATATCAAATTCTGGTAGATCATTTTCGAATTCTGGTGATCGTTTATGAGTTCTTTAACTGTAGCTCGAACTTCTTCGGTCTGAAGAAAGAGAATCCACACTCTCTTATGAAATCACGGCTTGGATAACCAGCATTGATAAGATCTAGTCTTTCTTCTGAGTAAGATCTTACACTGGCTTTACGCATTACTCCAGAGCTACTCAGACGAGGTAAACCAATTTCCAAAGTTGGTGAGTTATGAAAGAAGCCACAATCAGAACAAACAAGTCCCTTTCTATTATTCTCAACATCGACTCCTTACTAAAAGATTCAACATGAAAAGGTCCAACCTGCAATGCTATCACAAATACCCAGATCTGTCGGCGGAATATTTCAAGAGGGTAGCCAAATATCATTACCCAAGGAAAAGTCAGGACCTTTAGTCAACTGCTCTACAAGACATCGCGGATCTTACAACCACGTCACCTTCTAAGCACATTATCACGAAGCGCCGAGCAGATCAAACTCATCAAAGACAAAATCCTATTCCTCCTAATGCTTATCTCAATCCACAGGCCTTGGAAGAAGAAAACGAGCAAATGTCGCCCAGCTAAAAAAACACAATCCTCAATACACGGTAAAGCGGTGTTCTCTCACGAATAAACCCTTTCCTAAAAAAAATCGCCCCATCCAGTTTTCATAATACAGCCCAAAGAAAAAAAGTCCACCGAAAATGAAACCTTGTTTTTACCTCTTCTCTCATCGCCCACTCGGCCTCGAACTTGCCATCTCTCCGTACCTTCCACGTTCTCTCGTGGTATCGTATGCTTGCAATATTCTCGTTTGAGATTCGTCTGCCTGTGAGAAGGCGTATCCGCGCTGTTTGCGCATCCGTTGGACTTGTCGGACCTTGCGAATGGCTTTTTGGAATTGTTCCATTCTGAAAATACGTTAGTGATAGGCTCGGCGATACTCGATAAGTAAGAACAATTGGAAAGCACATACCGTGGTCTGTAATCTTGAATGTTGTACTTCTGAATTTCTTGAATGTGATGGTAGGTTTGTGGATAGTACATGCGTTTTGCGCTGTCCAAGCGATTAGTGTGAGACAACAAGATCGTACCAGAAATACTTACTATTTCCATGCAAAGTCTCGTGAAAGACAGATGATTGGCAAGGCAAGTCCTTGTAACCAAAATATTGGACTTGGGAACAAACGTGGTATAACACCTTCGTACTCCGTGGAGAAATTCAGTTTCGGTGCAACGGTGGCGTATACCGAAAGGAAGACCATCCAGATGAACATACTCCCAGGTATCGCAATGAAGTGGTATTTTGTCCAAATATTCGTTACTAGAGCAGCTTTTCCAAGAACGGTAGCGAGAACAGCAGTGTAAAGCCCAGAGCCCCAGACCCAATGACCTGCCGTTTTACCGTCGCCTTGAGGAAGATCATAAAGCCAGATAAATTGACTAGCAATATACAAAATCAGGGAATGGTAGAACCCGTTACCGACCCAGGAGAAGAAAGAATGCATCTTGAAGAATGTGTTCTTCTGACCGATTTGATAAAGCTGTGGGTACCTGTCCAGTAATCGAGCAGAGATGAATTGATCGAAAATTCCCATTGCCAGAGGCGGAAAGAATGTGAAAAACACGTTGTAGAATGATAGTGTCCATGATTCGTAAATGACCTCTCCGGAAAATGCATTTTGGAATGAATACTAGCTGAATATTAGTAGATATTCATAGAACAAGGGGCTTTACTTACCCAAAATTGTGTCATGTACAGTGTAATGTTCTTGTAGAATGAATAAAGAATGACTTTACTGATTCTTTGGTAACTCCAAGCCCCGTGAACGAGGAGCAACTTCCGAAGATATCTGAACTGGCCAATAGCGACATCAGCACTACGAGCCGCCTGGAGACCTTCCATACCACTGATACCCACTCCGATATGGGCAGCTTGGATCATGGAGACATCATTGGCACCATCACCAATTGCCAGCAAGATAGATTTCAGATGACGTTTCACAAGCTTGACTACCAACGCCTTCTGAAGAGGCGAAACACGACAACAGATAACAGCCTTACACATGACAGCAAGATCCAAGAAGTTCTTCTCGAGATCTTTCTCCAGAGCATATGTCAAAGACTTTCCATCGATGACAAGTGCTAAGGTGTCCATTGCGATAGTGCCGTCTCCTTGCGTACGAATAGCATCAAGCTTTTTCTGGATATTGTTTCTTGTCTCTACTGCCGTTTCTTCGTTGACGATCAAAAGCGTCATGTCTTCGCTCACCAACTTGCAACTCATGCCGATATTGATAGCAGTTTCTTGTCGATCGCCAGTGAGAACCCAGACCTTAATACCAGCTTCCTGTAATGTATGAATAGTCTCTGGAACACCATCTTGCAATCGATCCTCGATAGCTGTCGCACCGAGAAGGTAGAGTTCCTTCTCCAAAATCTCAGCCGCCTTGTCAAGCTCATCAGCACGATTTCCGCTAACTGTAGTTTGGGCTTTCTCAAATATTTGCCACCATTGCTGAAATTCGGCCTCTGGGATCTCTCGCATCGCCAAACACAAGGTTCTCAGACCCTCCGAAGCGTATTCTTCGAGATGTTGGAGGGTGAGTTCAACATGGGGATTGTCAGAGCTCAACCGTTCGAGAATAACTGTATCGGCACCTTTGGTGTAGCATCTGACTTTTCCATCTGGACATCTGAAGATTGCTGACATTCGCTTTCGGGTAGAGTTGAATTCACAAACAGCGAGTAGCTCGTACTCATACTCTCGTCCAGCAACCATGATTTGAACCGACCTCGGCTTTCGAGCAGTGAATTGATAGCCCATCATGACTGCCCCCTCGACCAAGGCTCCCTCATCGGGCGAGGCCGCTTGGTATTTGATTGCTCCGCCCTTTTCCTCCTGTCTTTCTGGAATGACAGTATGGCAAGTTGCTAATAACGTTAAGAAGTGATCTATGACTTGACTAGATTCGTGCGTCTTGAGATTCTCTTTGAGACGTTTGAAGTCATGAACCCCAACCTCAACACCATCTTGCATAACCGCTCTCCTATCCTCTGGAACTTCTTCAGAGTATTGGATACCAGCGATGGAGCATTGCTTGAATTCCATCTGGTTGCAAGTCAAAGTACCTGTCTTGTCGGAAAAGATGTATTCAACCATACCCAGCTCCTCGACCAAACTCGAGGTTCGGCAAACTGCTGGAGTATCGGTAGGTTCGTAATACATATCTAAATCGTCGTTGATGAGAATGGCATGCCAATATTTGACAAGCTCAATCGTCACGAAGAGAGAAATTGGAACCAGTGCAGAATAGAGAACCCAGTATGTAAAAATATCAGAACCGAATTGTTTGAGCTTTGTAATGGCATCTGTTGTTGCCGCATAATCCAAATAAGCCAACTCTCTTCCTCGGAAAATTCTAATAAGCAGATCTCCGATAGAACTTATAACACTGAGACAGATGAGAATTCCAATGAGCAACAGAACAAGCATGTTGAGTTGTCGCTCGACAGCAGTTCGCTTAATGGGGGTAGCGGTGGCATTTCGCATCAGTTTAGTTTCATGTCCGGTAAAGACTACAATACCGTGAATCCATGGAGTGTTTCGCAAAGTAGCACCTCTGAGAAGAAGTTGGTCTGGCTGTAACGGGAGCTCTTTTTCCCCCCCGCCGGCTGATAGAGTCAGGGTAGCTTCGTAGGTGTACAGACTGCTGTTTGGCTGCTCGGAACGAAGTTTTCCTCCAAGTCTGCTCATCTCGCTTGATTCGATTATGTTACAGGTTTCCGGGATTGCTTGTTTGATTTTAAGATTCGTCTCTCCATCAAGGTTTGCGGTTTCAATGTAGCAAAGTCCTTCGGGTTCCGAACTTGCAAGAAGCACAATATCTGCTGGAAATGGTTCTTCCGATTCCACTCGAACAATATCCCCAACAGCAACATTGACCCATTTTTGATCAACAAACTGCGAACCTTTAAGCACTCGAGCCTTCGAGTTGTTGAGAGATTTGTCGGATGTCTTTCTCCTATAATCTTCCACCAATTCTTTTCCTGCCGAAACCGCCAAAACCAGAATTAAAGGGCCAATGGTTGTGTATTTGTTTGTTGGCGAGATATTAGGTATCTGTTGCAAACCAGCTGTAAATAAGAAGAAAAGATTTGCAAATTTTGAGAATTGCTCGAAGAGAAACTTTGGTAAAAAGGTTGCAACGTTGTATTTTGCTGTCGAAATATGGTTGTCGACATATTTGTTCGCAGAGTTCGCGGGGGGGTTGTTAAGGTGTATAATTCTCGGCCCAAGGGTTGAAGGATCCGGTTTACCTCTACCAAATCCAAACTTGAAATTCTCAATGTCGAACTTCTTTGCTGCGGGAGCTTTTGGGGTCGTGGGCGTGTTTGGCATACCACTTCCTCGTGCACCTGCCTCTGTTAAAGGCAGATCCATCTCTGAGTACTCTGGCCCCATCCCCATCATGGACTTCGCCCTTCCCACCAATCCACCTCCCATACTCAAGACGCTATTCCGGCTACCCTTCTTACCCCGTTGTCTCATTGGCATCCCCGATCCATCACCAGGTATTGCGCCGCCAGGCTGGTAGTACATGTCATTGCCGTCATGTTGATCATCCGGAAAATCGTCCACATCGTCCGCGTATCTTTGGTAATTGCCCAGTCCTGATGTTTGGCTGTACGTCCTCGTTGACTGACCAGCTGCATATGGCCCTCCGGGACTTGATACTGTTCCTGGTCCACCTGGTAAAGGTCGTCCTGATCCTCCCCCTCCTCCTACAAAGTCATCGTAAGATACCGACGGACGAGGATTTGCCTCATCGTGGTCGGCATTGTAGGCGCGCAAAAGATCGTCGTCGTTTATGGGAGCCCGTTGCCCATTATTGTATACCGGTCGCTCGTCGTCCAAGTCGAGGAGGAGATCATCCCTATTGCTGCCAGTTGGCTGCCCTGCCATACTCAAGTGTCGCTATAGCCGCGCAACCGTGGTCATTGACCCCTGAATAGCTTTCTTTGGTTGTGAACAGACGTTGCCCACCGCAAACTCAGCAAGAGAACCAATCGTCTCGTCGTGATACTGGGTATTGAGGTTCGAAGGTATCCGTAAGCCTACCCTCCTTTAGAGCAGAGCACAGCCCGGCCGTGAAAGGAAGCGTACGTATTACCCAGACGCTGCGCTGCGTATACGAGACGATCCACCAGCCACAACCACTGCCTAGGACTTCTGGTCGTTCGTGAATGGGCGTGGGATCTGGAAGTATTCGTAACGAGTGTGTTTGCGCATGTACCAGGCCATTGATAGAGTCGGCTTGGAGAACTCGAGAGACGTCGTATTCGCTTTCTTTGGTGGTTGCGATACAAGTAAGGGTTCTTGTTTCTTTGCTTGCTTTCCCCAGCGTTCCCAGCACTCCCAGCACTTCAATCCTGGCCAAGCCCAAGACTTGGCATGAGATCAGCCTTGCCCGTCTTCAATGCTTACAGTATGCCAGCCTTCTCTGCCAATCCACATCCACCGCCACTTATCATCACCACCACCAGAACCGTTCAACGACGGTAAACATGGTCTGTTCCAAGTGTCAGAAGCTTGCAAAGTCTACGACGCTGGCCACCCCTGGCGTCAGGAAGAAGAATGATATGTATTACGGTTCTCCGGCAGGTTCATCTAAAGGTTCGGATAAATCTAAAACCTCAGCCACACTGGGGAGTAATGGGATAGGAAAGGTACGTTCAAGAAATACCAACTCGCTACGCTTAATACTGATGGATTTGGCAGAGCAAACTGCTTTCGAAGACAGCGAGAAATCCATACGCCGCCTACTCAAGTTCGTGCACCTCTTGCAAGACAAAGGTTGACCAGGGCCGGACGTACTGTCAGAAGTGTGCATATAAAGCAAATGGTATACAATGCTGTATAAATCTCAGGGTAGCGCCACTGACGGTTCATAGCTTGTGCGATGTGTGGCAAAGCCAGCTCCAAATCAACGGCTGCAGCCCCTGTGATCGCGGGTCAAAAGTTCACACTCAAATGAGGATATATGTTACGGCTGGGTTGTACGAAAATATTGTGACTGGTAACAGTGTCACGATTATACGAGAAGATTGGAATTGATACCCTGGTAATACAAGGCATTGGCGTATATGGTTGGGTAGGGTTCGGTTTGGAAAATGGTCTCTTTGGAAGTTATTGATATGATGAAGGAATATGGATTGAATGACGAGTGTACCAGTAGATCAAATTCTCAATAAGCTTCTACCAAAGACATTCACCATGCAGGGCGGAGCAGTCTTGGGTTTCTTGACAATTATGTTATTGTTGTGATGGAAGCCTCAAAGTCCTTAATTTAATGATTAATAGATAATGCTTACGGCCAAAGACATAAGCCGATTTCAAAATACACACATGAAACTCAGAAGCAGGCAGCCCTACAAATCTTGAATAAGGGTAAATCTAGGGAAAAATTTACTGCCGCTTTCTATGTCCACGTGGAGCCTGTTCCCTTCGCTTCGCTTCGATCGCTTCTTACGCTCAAAATAAGGGGTAGCGACCACCATATCTATGTAGGAACAACAAATTCGATTTCTCTAAGACTTCTAGCAACAGTTATTGCAGTCTACCCATAAGCACACAGAATAAAAAGCACCACCTTCCCGAAAATGATATGCAAAATCTATCCCCAACGCCCCAATTACCCAACGCTAATATGACAAAAATACATGTTACAGCCCAAGAGGTGGCACCTCATTCAGCAAGTTATCCCAATTCCCCTCTCCTGGCTCCAAGTTCCCCTCTTTGATGACTAGCAACTGCCTAACTCCACAGTAACCGCCTCTGTTGGCCGTCCTATCCTCATCAACATAATGTCCTTTCTTCGCCCAATAATCAACACCAAGATCCATTCCCTCGCCAATAGTGGCTCTTGCAGAAACCACAGATTCAGGGTTCGACTTCCAACCCCTGTCTTTAACCACTTCTCCCTCAATCTCAGTACGTCTGGCGTTGAAGCGCGGCATATGAGCGAAGTGATTGATAATTGCCTGTGGAAGAGCAAATAACCTTTCAACTCGTCGTGCAAAGCCTAGACGGGCTTGCGTTCTTGCGTCGTAGGACACTCGAACGTTTGGATTCATATAGATGCCCTGGTCCCATTTGTCTTCTGTCACAGGAGACATAGGGAAGGGAGGTAAGGCCATAATATCTGCATGTATTAAGCAGCACTCGCTCGAATCCCAAAATGGTTCAGGTTCGGACCGGAATCTAAGAGGGAGGGTAGGCGGCTCTCTGGTCGCTTTCGAGGCTCCTTTTACATCAACCTGAAAGTATCGTGCATCAAAAGCCGTCATTCCACCCCAACAGCTCTTGACCCTCACAGCATCTTTCCCAGCCAGAATATCTTTCCTGGTAATTGCCTCTCCCTCCGTTGAGAACCAAGGGAAGATAGGAACTCCAATGCTGTAGCCCTCCGTATCTCTCGTAGCAAAAGTGTCATAAAATTTCCACCAAGCCACAAAATCCGTCCCACAAGCAGCTTTATATCTCGCCTTTCCCTCCTCGTCAACATTCGTCCCCCACAGCAACCTAGCCGCACCCTCCGCCTCAAAATGCACATCATTAATAAAAAGCACCTTGTCAAACCTCTTCTTCAACCTATCCAACGGTTCCAGCGCTTTATTCCTCACCTCCGCCAAATAAGCAATCCTCTTAATCCTCTTCTCCCCCGTCGGTAACGTCGTCCTAGGAATGGCGCTCATATCCAACGGCGTCTGCTCCTCACTAACAAAACTATGCTCACACTCCAGCATGCCCCCAAGTAATTCCAATCGATCCTTCGGCCCCCCATAAATCGAAACATAAACCTTCTCCTTCCCAATAAGTTCCACAAGCTCCAGCAACGCCCTCCCCCACGCCCCACCAATCAAGTCCCCATCAATAATATTCGCCGCAATGAAGACCGTTTCCTCCTGCGGGATCATAAAAGGGAGAGGATCCACATAAGACCCATTGAATAGAATTTGCCAGAGACAAAATATTATGAAACCTATAAGAACGTATATAGGTCTGCAAACCCTACAGATCCTTCGCGTCTTGCGAGCTATTCGAAAAAAGACATTCTGTCGACGAGGGAGAGGCTTATCTTTGAATTCTTCGGTCGAGGCATTATCGTCTAGGGAAGAGCGTGGGAGAAGTTCGTATTGCGCGGTGGGAGGCATAGCGATGAGGAAGTGGATGCGCGCTTGCGAAGGCTTTGGGTATCTCGGGGCATGGAGGTGAGATTTCAAATCGAGGAGAGGAGGTTCAGTTCGTTCCTTATGTTGGAGGAGACGAAAATGATCGGTCTAGCATCGGCATGTATATGTAGCGCATTCCTTCTGGGATTGCGCTCCTGATGAAAGTATTATTGAGGGACAGAAAGCGTTCTCAACCCATATTGGCTTAACCTCGGTGGGAGCAGCCCCACCAAAAAAGTTTTCAAGGTTCGTTAGGAATCCCCTCCAGACTTTCACAATGCGATGTAACACAACCTGGATTTCATCTCACAAAAAAGTACTTTAATCATTCACAGCTCATTCACAACCAGGAACAAGCTGGCCGAGCCAGCATATTAAAATCAAGTAGTTAAGTTAAGTAAAAGAATATACTATACTAAACTTAGGTAGTAATAATAACTACTCTAATTAACTCGTCAGGTATTTTATTTACCAAAGTACTATTTAAGTACAATAGTACTAAATAGGTAAGCGCGATCCCCGTAGCGCGCCCGACACACTGGCAACTACCTAGTTACTAGCTACCCGATTTGGCCGCTGAGATTTTCAATTAGCTAAGTATACTAAGTCTTGTTCTACTGTCAACGTTATATATATCTTCAATCTAGGTAATATAAGTACGTACTAAGCTAAGTTAAAAATCCTATCTTGTTCAATATGAGAAAGCAGTGTATAATGAAAAACTAGGTATATGTTTGTTAGTACAATATCCTTAGTACTTAACTCAAGCTAATGCGTAGCTGATTAACTTTTTATTACGCTAGCTGACTTGAAGACACAGAATACTTGAGGAGGTGCCTCGGAGCAATTCACACATCTACAAAGCTCAATAGTGGAAATCACTCGCAATTTGAGTCAAAGATTTCATAAAAAATGACTTTCATAGGTAACGTAACGCATCTGGCTCCTGACCCATTAAGCTCATATCATACAAAGGCGCGCCTCTTTTGTTGCCGTATGTCCAGTCCAACCTTCCAATAATACCTTTCAAAAGAGAAGAGAAACAGAAACAGAATGGCAAAAAACAACCCCTTTCGCTATCAGTCCCAACCTTCCGAATCGACCTCGGTGTGACGCAGTGGTCATGATTTGTAATAATACAAGGCAGGAACTACAACTAGTACGAGTGCAGATACAGCCACTAGCCTAATCATTGTCCAAGGTATCAGCATCGTAGGGGGGCAGTATTTTCTATGAAGTAAGAAACAACACATTAAACGGGGAGTAAAACAAAAAATCAGTGAAAGCCTTACGAATCGCGCCCACCGCCAAAGCAGCTAGCTATTAACCCGCCAATCCAATCAACAAACACTGCCCGCCAAAATCCCTTCAGGAAATTTCTTGATTTCACATCGTCCTTATTTGAACGGATCGAAGTAGGTGTAAGTGGGCGATCCGGCGAAGGAGTCATAGCTCGTTGTTTTTTTCTCGAAGCAAGCTGATAACTACGACCGCTCGTTGCGATTGACGTGCTTTCCCCGGCGGTTTGTGCCTCGGAGAATTCTGAATCAGTTGGTGCCAGACTAGCTCTTGGGGTAGCTGACTCCAACGTGATACTTGGACCTTCTCCGCTAGCGACAAGCTCCTCGTTTTGCCTGCTGTCATGACCAAGTTGTCTTTCACCGTTGCTAATGAAAGGGGTCAAGACTGGCTGTACTGTCACGTTAAGTGATTCGGCCGTGGAAGAAGTCTTGCTGAGGCCCTGCTTTGGACTTTCCTTGGGGCTTGTTGCTGGATGAATCGTGATGGTTGGAGCTCTAGCTCGGGTTTGAACGTTTTGGTCAGGAGAATCGCCAGCAATATCGGAGGTAGTCGTTTCAGTACCAGTGGTCTTTCCGTCCGAATCTGCACTTCGAGCCCCAGAGTTTTCATGTACTAGAGATTCTGCATTCTCCTTGTCATGAGGTTCGGGTGTGGAAATAGAACTTTCGGGCTCCTCGACAGTCGCCACTTCTGGGCGTTCCTTCGAAGTGTGGTTTTCATCGCTGGTCTTAGGCTTTGCTGATTCGTTTGTCGCAACTTCGGGGATGGTACTTTCATCTTCTGTCTCGGTAGTGAAGTCAGCAATTCCTTCAATGTCGCTGGTATGCTGCGATCCTTCTTCATGTATCGTGTCCGATATTATTTTTTCCGTAGAGCTCTGGCCGTTCCCATTTCCAAAATCGACGATAGATACAGATGCTCCCATATTTTCCTGCTTGCCAGTCTCTGCCAGAGACGGGGTTCGGTCTGCTTCATCCAATTCATGCTCCTCTTCAATTGCACCAAGGGAAGGCGATCTTTCTTGAGCAAGCATTCTAGGCGATGGATTTGGAAGGTCAAGACGCTCGGTTTGACGACCGACTGCTGGAGAGGTTACTGGAGACTCGTCTGGAGGCAATCTAGTTTCCAGACTTCGAATCTTTTCATAGACACCTTCGCGAGTTGTTGGAAATGATTCTAACGAGGGGTCATTGGGATCAATATCGGCATCCATTGTTGACTGCGATGCAACAATTGGAGAAGAATTTCTCAAGCTGCTGGCCCTACTTTTTACAACTTTATCGGTTGGGCCAGGGCATTCATGTGGAAACAAAGGTACTCGCTCATGCTCTGGTGTCGGGGCGTACAATTCCTCGTCTTCGAGGCTCATTGGAGGGGAAGGCATCTCGATTTGAGACTACCTGAACTCAGCAATTTGACGACCAAAATTGCAGAGGCAAGAAGAGACAAAACATACCAAGTTGGGTCTATCCAGCTTAGCGGCGACATCAGCTACCTCTGCCGCTGTGCCCGCAACCTCGGGAATGGGTGTACTGGACATGCGCCGATAGCCAATTCGACCTGCTTCCTCATCTGGGACGTACGGACTTGGGGGACCATTGTCAAGTTTGGCAGCCGAGTCTGCAACCTCTGCGGCTACTTGTGCAGCATCTGGAGTTCCAGACATTGGTGGAGTGTCGATATCGTCATTCGAGGTCTCATTGAAATTGGTATGACTTGAAGTACCATTGACAGCCCCCATAGTCGTTGCTTGAATTGAGTGATTCAAACCCAGGTCAACGGAAGTTTTGGCAGATGCTCTTCTTGGTTCTGTTGACTGGGGAACTGAGAGGAGGTTATTTGTATTTCCACTATCGTCAGTGACTAAAGAGGCAAAAGAAATGTCAGCATTGAGGGTGAATAAGTATTGAGAGCGACGTCATCTACATATCAGAACTTCATTGTCCCTAGAAATACGTACCTATGGAGGCGTCCTCGCAGAGCACCCACCAATCGCCTGTTCCCATCCGAAATTTATATTGATATTCTTTCCCTTCCTCAACCAAAACTTCCTTGACAAACTCCGACTCGCCATCTTTGTTGGTCGTATGTTGCATCTCCTGCGGCAACCATGGTGAACTGGAAAAGGAACCAGCGAGGAAGACTGGCGGTTGAGTGCCCGGTTTGGCATACTTGATGGTCACCGAGACGAATTGAGAGGGAGGCGCCATGATGGCATTAGGGTCGAGACAATGTCCTTTGCTTGGGGAATGGGTGAGATTAACAGGATATGCGATGGTAGTTGCAGAGTACCTAGCAGCTAGCTGGTTCTGTGGAAGGAGCAAAGGAGAAAGTAGCGGGAGAGGGAGCGAGCGGGAACAGGCCTGGCCAGACTGCAGTAATGTTTTCAGTCGGTAGGTAGGTAGATACTAGGTAGGAGGAGGATTCCTATAGAAAGTAAGCTGTTGGAGGTTGGGTGTAGGGTGTACCCAGACAGGTGGGATGAGTCGGATGACGGATGGTAACGAGATATCTCAACCAGGGTAGCGGACCCGGTATTTTATCTAGACCCCACGCGTGTGTGTACGGTACGGGGTAATTCGCTTCACCACTTCCTCGTCTGATTCTTGGTTCGTCTGCTGTGAAGCACTGGAACAGGTGGGAGGGCACTTCCCCAACTCACTGTGTGAATGAGGAGATGACCTCCCGTAGTCTATTCACGCTTGTGATGCAAGATGCAACTTTGCCGTCCCATCCATCAGTAGAATCAAGAAGTTGGCACGCCACTATCAGCGGCATTGATGCAGGGCTGACAAAAGAAGGACGAGGCTAATCATTCACCATCTGATCCGGGATCTTCATCCACTCGTACGACCAATGGAAGCATCGTCAGCCATTCACATCCTTAGATAGGATGGAGAATTCCAATGTGTCGACGACTCCTCTCAATTCAACAAGCCCATTCATTCTAGAAGAAATCTGTGATGGCTTCCTCGTAAAACATTCTGCTTCTGGAGCACGTGGGAGCACCTATCAAGCTCCCCGCAGTCAATGCATGTTCTAAGCTCCAACCACCAGCATGGCAATCTGCATGGGTTTCCTGGAGCAGCCTTTCCCCACGGACATTGATAGATACACTCACACATTCCACCTCGTCATGCTAAACTCTCTCAAGTGCCAATAGGTGCAGGCCCATCTCTGTCATATTATCTGTCATTTCTCTATTAGGCAAAATATCCTTCGCAATACACACCTACTTCTTTGATAGATTGACCTCGGCAAGATGATCACCCCATATCAAAATGACAACCAAGACTTGGTTACCAACATTCCAACATTCAACAATGCATGCTTGAGTATTGGGTCCAAATTTGCTAATCCTTTTTCTAAGCGACAATAATGAATTCTTCTATTCGCTTCTTGACCGCATCTTCAACCAATCTTGCCATCGTGTGGGGTTAAAAGTACCCACTTCTTTCCGGCGCAGTGGAATGGTGGGGAAAATGCAGTGCTGCGGGCGCATGGATTCAGCCCAGTGTTGTGCGTTAGCTCATTCCACTTTCAAAGAACTCAGATCTCCTACAATATGCAGTTCTCAATATACAAATTTCCTCGTCTCAAAAGAATCTGGGTGGTGTAGAAATTTGGACTCATCGTTTCCAACGAGAAAAATTGATTATTTCCTGTAGTTGTGATTTGTGTGTTACTGGACCAAGTTTCGAGTTGAGTCGCTTTCTAGTTCTACACTACCCACCCACACTACTTATGGCGCTCTCCTTCAAGAGATACAAGTGGTGGTCAGTAAGAGTCACCACCAGGAGATTTTTGACTTGAGGATTGTTACAAAATTACAGGATATCAAATAAACATCAAAATTTATTTAATATCGCTGCTTCACATGTTGCCAAATGGAACAACCAAACTCCCAGCGAGCAGCAAGCTCACAACATGTTTCCAAAGATGTAATGGTTGACACAGTAGATTCACCAGTTATAAAATCAGAAGATGTAGAGGATAACACGCTCACTTCTTCAAAACAGCACGGCGAGTACAAAAGACAGCTCACGTCCAGACATGTCCATGTAAAACTCTGCTTTCCATACGATGTTATCTGACATTACAGCTAACAAGAAGAAAGATAATCTCTCTTGGTTCCAACATCGGATCTAGTATCTTCATAGCCACGGGTAAGGCACTTTATCAAGGCGGTCCTGGGAATATAATTCTCGGATATGCGCTGGTTTGTTCCTTGATTACTGCTGTGCTAGCAACGATTGCTGAAATCACAATTGCCTTCCCAACTTCTGGGAACTTTATTGATTATGCGAATCGGTTTGTGGATCCAAGTATGGCATTTGCCGCTGGGTTTGCGGAATGGCTTGGTATGTTACCGTCTGGTGTTTTCTGAGAAGCTTATATTAATGAATTGGAAGGGTGGACCGGGGTGGTTGCTGCTGAAGCTACAGTATTCAATATAGTGGTACAGTACTGGGCCCATGATAGTATTCATAAAGTAGTATGGTGTGAGTCTTCATTACTTGCAACAAAATACTTTTGGAATGACTAACTTAATTCCAGTGAGCGTGTTTATCTTCTGTGTTTCAATAATTTTCCTTCTGCCGGTGCGTTGGTTTGCCTGGTTTGAATACATCTGCTCCCTTCTCAAGATCTTCTCATTCATACTTGTCATAGTCGCCTCGATCTGTGTGCTCGCGGGCGCAGGGCCAACGGGTCACGTTCATGGTTCTGAGACACGGGGATATTTCCCAATATTCGCAAACGGGTTTAGAGTTGGTCATTCCCCCAAACCTCCCGTTGACACAATTAACACAGACAGGGGTTCTTGAATGCTGTTCTACTCAGTATCTGGGCAACAGGAGATCAAGTATTCACGGGCATCATGGCTGGAGAAGCTGTTTCTCCTCGCTACTCTATGGCCCATGCCGTCAAACTGGTTCCAGCACGAGTAACATTGATCTACATGACCGGTGCCATCCTGATCAGTTTCCTCGTTTCTGGAAACGATCCCAGGCTTCGGGGGGGGAATTCCACTGCTTCAAGCCCCTTTGTGGTTGCAATGAATGACGCAGGTATCAAGGGCGTACCGGATATCATCAACATTGCAATTATCATTAGCACTGCCTCATTGGCAGCGGAAGGTATCTATACAGCCTCGCGGGTTCTTCGTGCGTTGGCGCATGCTGGGTTGATACATAAAAGTATCGCGAAGGTGGATTCGAAAGGCCGACCTAGATATGCGATTGCAATAACTGTTCTTGCTCCTGTCACCTTGACGTATATCAATTTGAGTAGTACGATATCCCTGATCTCTACTTGGATTTTCTTGCTAACTGGAGTTAGATACCGGTGTGCAAGTGTTTACTTGGTTAGTATCAATCGTTTCCTCTTCATTCTTTTGTGTCTGGTTCGTCATCGCAATAATATCCTTCCGCTTCCGCGCGGCAATCAGAGCCCAAAATGATCCTCTTTTCACCGAAATATATGCTTACAAAACCTCATGGTGGCCATTCCCACCCACGTATCTTTTTGTTGGGTCGATATTCCCTCTTATCGGTTGTATCTACATTGGTTATTGCCTCTTGTAAGTCTCCTCCCCTCTGAAACAAAATTGAAAGAAATCGGATATGCTGACGAGAAACAGGATTCCAAATCGATCAACGTATATAATTTCTTCCAGTACATGCTTGGATTATTCCTCATTGCCACTTCCTACTTGGGGTATAAATGCGTGTTTCGGACGAAAATTGTTGATCCGAAGAAGGTGGATTTGGTAACGGGAAGGAGAACTTTAGATGAGAAGGAGATTTTTCTGTTACATTCAGCTCTGGTGATTGGATAGGAGATTGAAGGAATGATGTTGTTTTAAACATGAATTTAACTGCTGAAAAAATAGTAGTCTCAGCTACTTTACTGTGTGAGAGATCTCGTCGTTGCTCACAAACAGCTTGAAAAGTGCTTGTGCTAGAGCTTTTGGAACAATAAACTTCAATATCCCAAACCATTCGCATAACTGTTTCCACAGCGAGAGTTTTTCTGGTGCAAACAGTTTCATTGAGGTGCATGTAGAGCAATAGCAGGGTTTCTGCGTCCCTGGAAATGACATACTATACGTCCTAGAACAATGAATTGAGTTAACTCATTGCTAGAGAACTCACCCCAGTGTATTGTAGAGCGCGACCATTATCCAACGCCTTGATGTGGTACCCTAGGAAGCTTTTTCCATGAGCTCCTAATCAAGCGTCTGATCTTCTTTGATACCAGTAGGAGCTAAGATTCAGCTACGTCAATGACGATAGCGATGGTCAGATCTTCGCAAGCCTAGCTAGCTTAGAAATCACCTGCACGTACTGGCACTATGTTAAGCCACATTTCACGCCCAAGAAAACGTTTAGCAAACGCAGCACCTAGGAAATGGTCCCCATCACCCCTTTGTAAGGTTCTGGGAGCTTGGTATGATGCCTGTAGTAGTAGTCATCCAGTTGAAGAATGATCAACAACTGTGCACAGCCAGCATGAAGAAGAATTGTCAAATTACAAAGTTTCCTGGGCATGATTGGACGACCCTTGCGTGTCTGGCTGAAGTGTTTCTTAGGTACATTCTCAGATGGCGTTGTATTGTTCTACTGTGTTTTTGTAACAAGTACAAGTTCAGTTTCTGAGAATCACCGTCAGAATAAATACGCTCTCAAAAATAGAAAATAGCAGACTTTCCTCAAGCAATGCACGAAGTAGTTGGTATGATGTGGTCCTGTGCCATGCCACTCACTACCAGCGGTTCGGCGTCAGCGTTGTTCACCCCTGCTTGCTGAAGAACGGAAAAGCAGCGGCCGATATCCCCACGTTACCCGCGGAGCTGTACGCCGTACGCATTCACCCTCTTCCAGCATAGGCACACCACACTCTAAAAGTATGCTTGCCATACTCAATCCCAACAACCTGGGTGAATCGGCCAGCGGACAATAAACACCAAAAGAACTGGAAATTGGTAGGCCTTACCTAGATCAGTAGTTAATAGTGAATCTAAGGACTGCTTTGTATTAAATGGAAACATGACAGAGTCCCGCTTCTCTCTTCAGTAGTAATTACCTATAATTGTAGCGGACATCAGGCATCAGACATGACAGAGGAAAAGTGACGCTGGCTGCCGCTTTTTCCATGACAGAAACCGACCCTCTCTTAGCGCACCACCTGCATCAGTACCTTTCCGTCTTCCACCCATCCCCATCCCATCCCATCCAGACTTACCAGGCCCTGCCCTTTACTTCCTACATACAAGTCTTGCTGTCGCCATCGCGTTCGCAACTCCCCACCCGATTGATCTTTTTCTCAAAACCTCCCACCAGGACGATTGGAAGTTCCCATCTTCATACTCGTCCGTAAAAGTACTCCATAAAGTCAGCGGTGCATCTGCATCCTTGCTTTCCCAGGGACTTCATAGCCTCGTCTCGTCTGCCCTTGAGATCTTGAGATCGGCTCACATTCTCACACAACGCAACATCCAACCAACAGAACAGCCATTGCTGGACCAAACCATTCCTGGATATCCTCCTCATACTTTTTGGGGTTGAAACGAAAATCAATACACGCTCTGATGGGCCAATATTTATTTACCATTGTCCGATAGCCTCTCACATTCTGGCGCTTCTCGCAACAACATTCTGCGGGAGGCGCTTCCTGTCCCCATAGCTACCACTACCGCTTGTGGCAAGAATTTGTCCTTGGGAACGACCGACATGACCAAGGCTTCTTCTCGTCATTCGAGCGCCGCAGCCTCTCCCACAGCTCCCCAGGCTGGCGATGGTGCGAATGGTGGAGAGTTATTGATGGTGGAGGGAGAACAACTGCGCAAGTCCAAGTCCCCGCCGAGGGCTCTGCAGGATGGTCCAACTTCAGTAAATAATAACTCCTCGAGTAAACCGGGCGATCAAAATTCAATCGATACACCTTCCACGGAGTCACAGCCGGCAAAGAAGTCTAGTTCCGTCTCCTCGAATCCGCCAACCGTGAAGGAGACCGAAGGGGGCGACTCCGGTGTCGAAGTTCAGTATGGAACCCGATCGCGCAACAGAGCAGGGAAATTGAGGCCCAATTACGCCGAAGACAGTGGAATGGACGCGGAATTCGAGGTTGCGCCAACTGGAAAGGAGAAATCAGGGCGCAAAGCGGTACAGGCTGCCGAGGCGGCCTCATCCAATGGACTAGATGCTGGAAAACCTGCTATAGCAGCCCAAAAGTTACCCGCTCCAGAATCTGAACAGCAGTTAGCCCAGAATAATCACCATAAAGATCCCATACCCGGAACTTCCACATTCTCTGCCCACCCAACGGCTCCTGCGCCAACCAAGAAGAGGAAGGCGACCAACCAAAATGCAGCGGCAGCGGCTCAAAGCTCAAATAGCGCACCTAGGAAAGCCAATGCGGCAGCGCAAGTCCCCACTGGTGTTCGAGAGACAAATATGCTGACCTTTGAAAATTGTGGCGGGAGACTGAAAGACGGTAAACTTATTGCAGACGATGGGACAGTACTGGAAATTAATGGTATGGCTGGATTTTCCCCCTCGCTGGGCAACTCAACCCCATGACATAAAAAACAAAAGACTGATAATTCTTTAGATCATGCCTACCTCATTTGTGAACCTCCAGGAGAGCCGTATTATCTCGGCAGAATAATGGAGTTTCTTCATCTAGACAATGACAGTTCAAAACCAATAGACTCAGTTCGGCTCAACTGGTACTATCGATCTAGAGATATTGGCAGAAAAACCAATGATTTCCGACAAGTCTTCGCGTCCATGCACTCTGACATCAGTCCATTAACTGCACTTCGCGGAAAATGCGAAATCAAACACAAAACCGAAGTCGAGAATCTCGATGACTTGCGAAGAACTCAAGATTCTTTCTGGTTTGAAAAGCTCTATGATCGTTACATTCACAGTTATTATGATGTCATCCCGACAAGATTGGTTATCAATGTGCCTGCCAATGTCAAAAAGGTTCTTGACGAAAGATGGAAATACATTGTCGTGGAACCGAATCGTGTCAAGTCATTTACCACCCCTTCAAAATCGTGCAAAAGATGTGGCGAGTATAGTTCCAAGTGAGTGTAGCCATTACCGACAAGCTTATTCACTTGCTGATAATGATATATAGAGATGATGCCGTTGACTGCGCTATATGCTCCGAAACTTACCACATGAGTTGTGTCAGTCCTCCGCTATTAAAAAAGCCCACTCGAGGATTCGCTTGGGCTTGCGGTCCCTGTAGTAAAGCTCAGGCAAAGAAGCTGAAGGAGCGAAACACCCCCAATATTGCTGATCTACCAGACGACGATGAGTTGAACGATGAAGAGGAGTCGCCGGCTGTCACCGAAGCTGCCAACGATACTGGACCGACCAGTCCGGCTCGTTCTACAAATCTAGATGATTCATTCGTCGGCGCTGACAAGCAATCCCAACAAGGCAATTGGCTCTGGAGGTATCTGGGACAACATTGCAAAGTGACCGACGCTCTGGATCCCGACGACCGTATACATCCCCGGGCAAGTTCACGTGTCAGCAAGATGCATCAAGTCACTGTAGAAAACTGGCCGGGAAGACCAGTGGAGTATGTCAAGGCGCCCGAAGTCAAACGAAAGTACGTGAAAGGCGGGGCACCGAAGAAGGAAACAAAGCAAGCCAAAGAAGCCGCTGCTGCACTAGAGGCCGACAAACTTGCAAGAGAGAAGAGACCAAAGTGGGTTATGGACGAACCTCCTGGATACACCGCTCGGGGAGAAGACTACGACAATGACGATCCCAGGTGCACTGCACAGCTTGTTTACAAGGCACCTGATGCCGAACAATTGGTTCCTGCTCCCGATAATGACAATGATATCAGCATGGAGAAGCCTGAAGATACTGCTCTCGATGGTATTATTAAGAAATATGTTGACGAAGCTGTTTCTATTGCGAGACAACTCCACAATATACCTGAAAAGAATACGACCAATTCCATGGACGTTGCATTGCAGACACTGCAGTCAAGCGGATATGATGTAAATAAGGCATTGGATGTTATGAAAACCCTGGATAAGAGTGTCTTCAAAGAACCGGATCTCAGTCCTTTGGAATTGAAGAAGTTTGAGGACGGTGTCACTAAACACGGCTCACAATGGTACAGCATAAAAAAGCATGTCAAAACCATGAGTGCTGCAAACGTAGTCAGATTTTACTACACCTGGAAGAAAACAGACCGAGGCAAGCAAGTCTGGGGTAATTGTCCTAAGAGGAAAGGCAAGAAGGAAACCAAACAAGCAGAAGCAACGGCAGCACCTGGGAAGCTTCAAGACGATGTTGCTGATGAGTACGACGATTCTGCATTTGACAACGAAAAAGCTGCCTCCAAAAAGAGAAGATTTCAGTGCATGTTCTGTGCCACGAGACAATCCCGACAGTGGAGAAGAGGCCCACCTCCAACAGGCATGATTTCTGAGGCAACGGGTGCCAAGGCAACTGCCAAAGATAAAAACAACACATTGATGGAAGCTTTGTGTCGCAGATGTGCTGAATTATGGCGCCGGTATGCAATCCAATGGGAGGATATCGATGAAGTCAATAAAAAGATTGCACAGAATGGAGGCAAAGCCTGGAAACGCAAGATTGACGAGGAGTTTCTCAAGGAACTTTTGGCTGCGAACGAGGTCACAAATATGTATGAAGAGCCGGTAAATACTGGCCCCATGTCTGCTGATGGCACGCCAATTCTATCTGCTCCGCCTGTCCAAGTAGAGCCTCCAAGAAAGAAGGCGAAGACTGTACCTGAGCCAGATGTGGTCAATCCGTCTATAGAACCGGCTGTAGTCCAGGCGCCTGTTCCAAAGAAAAAGGCACCGGTAGAGAAGCCGCCTCCGCCACCACCTCCTCCCGAACCGCCAAAGGCAAAGGTACTTCCTTGCGCCGTATGCAATGGCTTGGTACCTACAGAGGCACTCCTCGCGTGTAAGGAATGCCGGTTATCTGTCCATCGCCAATGTTATGGAGTTGTGCGTGAGGGAAATACTAGTAAATGGACGTGTGATATGTGTTCTAATGACAGAAATCCACAAGTATCGATCGTAAGTACACAACTAAAGACTGTTAATACAATCAGACTGACACTAGTAGCAATATAAATGCATGCTATGCCCCGTAGAATACACGGAACGCGATTTTGTAGAATCACCACCTAAGATCTCGCATAAAAAGAAGACTGAGAAGGATCGCGAGAAAGATCGCTTAGAACGAGAAGCTGCACTAAATGCTGCAGAATTCTTCCGGAAAAAACAGGAGGATCTTAATAAACCTGTCAATCCAAGGGAGCCTCTCAAGCGGACCGCCAACAACAATTGGGTTCATGTTACCTGTGCTGTTTTCACCCCAGAGGTTAAGTTTGGCAACGCGAAAGCTCTGGAGCCTTCAGAGGGTATCCCATCCATAGCATCAGCTCGATACGATGAAACTTGCAAGGCATGCAAAAAGAGAGGTGGCGCGTGTGTGGTATGCCATTCTTGCAAAGCCCCAGGTAAGTTATATGATTTCAACCTCTAATATCACTACTAACAAAACTAGTGCACGTGGAATGCGCACACCAAGCTGGATATGTCCTCGGTTTCGATATTACGCCAGTCAAAGGGTCTCGCAGAGACCAATCCAATATTGTGACTATAAATGGGGACACTGGCATCATGGTGGGTGCAGTATGGTGTAAGGATCATGTGCCAACTAAGCAACCCTATCATGAAATGAGTGATATTGTCGACGATACAGGAATCAACGCCCTTCAACTCTATGTGCGAAACTACAAACAAGCTGATTTGACCTTGACCGGAACTGTTCGCAAAGCAACACTTGTCAACCAGTCCACCAAAGTCGTCATTCCTACCTCTGCGCCTCCTTCTACAAATCGCAGGACCTCTACCGCCCACACCAACGGACACACTTCCAATGGCAGAGGTACTTCATCTGCTACAAAAGCTGAGGATTCTTCTAAGGAGCCGCCCAAGACTCCAGTCAGAATCTGTGCTACGTGTGAGACGGATGTTAGCCCGAGGTGGTTGCCCTTTCCTCCTGTTGATGACACCATTGTGAGTGGTCAACTTGCTGGCGAGCCCCAACCCAATGGGGTACATGCCAATGATCTCCAGAATACTCGAGACACACTTGTGGATGACAGTGCTGGGCATGCTGCTCTTGCTGCTGCCGCCTTGCATCAAAATACACAACCATCTCCCTCAGGAGTTGAGGAATGGCAGTGCCATAAATGCCACCTTAGGAAACGAAAAAGAGAGCCTTCATTTCCACCACCAGTGGCAGCTCTTCCAGTTCTCCCGGCAGCTCCACCAGCCATTCAGCGAGAGGAACCACGACCTATGAACTCCATCCCACTGAATATTGGTGCTCCTATACCTGAACAAGAAATGCCACCTAGTAGACCTCACTCCAGTCCGTATGGGTGGGCCCCCCAACCATCCTATCCGCATAATACTCCATACAGCTGGCCTAGACATTCGCCCGTTGCCCAAGCTGCGGGAGTGGTGAACCATTTGAACGGCGCCCATTCGCCTCGGCTACCACCCGTTGGACCTAGCCAAATCCGACAACCTGTCTCGAATGTCCCACCTTCCAATGGCCACCTGGCTCAGCTTCCAAACGGCTATCCTCCCTCCCCTCGGCATAATATGAGTCCCTCGTTACAGATGCAAAATGGCACTTATCCTTCCTATGGCCCTTCTACGCGTCAACCACCACAGCATTTAACGAACGGAGGACCTCCGCCTCGTGCCCCTGAGCATCCATTCTCGAACAACAATCCACCCGTGCACCCTCGGCAGTCGTTTCCGCCCGCGCAAATGAGTCCTCCCCTCCACAGAGATCATAATCAATCGCGAGAGAACAATTTCCAACCGCCACCCCCACCTCCATCGTCCAATGTTCGACAACCAGATGGTCAGGTCAATGGAGGCGCAAGTGCGAGCCCGTCGTTACGTAATCTGTTGTCATGAAGGAATGAGTGATGCAGAAGAAAAGAATTGTATTAAAACTCCCTTTTTCCCCCTTTCCGAATAGTCCTTTTCCTTTCGTTTTAGATGTTGGTCACATTCTTCTCTTGTGGCATTTACCGGAATTGGCATCTATGGGGATTGATAGATGCCTAAATGGGATTCTGTAGGAAAATTTCAAGCGTGGCGTTAAGAGATGAAGGGATTGTAAAGTAGAAAACTGGATTGTGATGTTTATTAAGCAGGGCACGTAGGCTTTGATATGGGCCAAATTTTAGTGCGGCCACGAATGAAAAAGATGTTGACTATGCCTTCTCGTGTTATATCGGTCACTTGTGAGAATGCTTTCATGTGTTTTTTTTTAATCTGTGATATGACTGGGAAGCATTTCGAAAGTTTCAAGTCCAGACGTTGGATAGTTGGTACGGCTTTTCTGCTTCCTATTACGTTTAGGTTTGGTAGGATTTCTCGAATCTCTTGGGCTGGATAACACCTACGGCTTACCTAACTAACCAGAAATTGAGGGAGATGTTAGAGGCACTACAGTATTCGACAGAGCAGGGGCATTACCGCTTCTCATTCTACCAGACTACCAGTATAAATTTTCACTCTATCAAGAGAGTACAGTACACGAAGAACACAAGCGTATTCTATTCAACACCGCTACCTAATAACATAATCTGGGTATCATCGCATCATCTACTCTCACTCAGGAAATAACCAAATTCGCTAGCCAGCCTGCCAGTCTCAAAACTCCAAACCTTTTCCTCGCCTTGCCCGTCCAGAGCTAACCTGACCTAACCTAACCTCCCATGCCATGGAAGTACAACCCCTTCTGATTCGGTCCCTTGATATTCTGGAGGCCTTTTAAGCCCTCGATTCCTAGGGCGTAGGTGTGTCCGCTTCGGGGTTTCATGTTGATGGGGAGGTGGCTTGGGGTTGGGTTTGGGTTTCTTTCTTGGTGTTGTTGATGTGTCTCTTTTCCTTCTTTTTGAGAAGCATGGGGAGGGAGGGTTTTTGTAAGGAGGTGTGGGTGGGGTGTTCCTTTGTTGTTATTTGTGGTTGTGTTTTGAGAGGGCCGTTTCTTGGGTGTTGGATGGACAGATGCGGGTTTGGTTTTGTGGGCGCTGTGGATGGTGGGGGGCCGTAGGGTGTTGGGGTTTGAGGTTGAGGGGGTGGGAGTTGGTGATAGGAGGAATCGCACTTTTGCGGGGGGTTTTGTTGGCGATGTGGGGGGTTTGAGGATGGATTTTGGTTTTGGTTGCTGGGAGGTGGTTTGCAGGAGTTCGGTGTCGGTCCAGGGGGTTGGTGGTGTTGTGGATGGGTGGGGTGGTTCTGAGGGGTGTTAGGTTGGTTTGTTCTTGGGATTATGAGATAATGGGATGTTAAGTGGTATATGGGAGGGTGGCTAGTCGGTGGTTTGGAATGAGATGGAAGGACTTATGTGTAGAGTATGTACTTACTTGGATGGAAGGCTTTACCGAAGAGCGCAAGATACATTTCCTCTTGCAGAGTGCTCTTGCATTCTGGACCCGAGGCAGTGGATATTGTTGTAGCGACGGTATTAGTGCTCAATGATGACTCCGTGGACTCGGCGGAAAGATTGGATACGCTGTGTGAGAGGGGAGGTCTTGTTGGCAGTCTCGGTGTCAAGTCGTCTTCGTCGTTGGGGGGATAGATGATTTGAGGAATTGCGTGGTTAAGGTGACCTGGGGGAGAATAGTCGTGGAGAGACATCTTTTTGGTTTTTGGTTTTGGGGTTTTTCTCTTGATGGAATTGTAAATCAAGTAGTCGTCCTCTGAAAGAGGGGGGCGAAGAAGGGATGGAGTGAGTGGTAAGTGAAGTGGTGAGGATATTCTGATGGACATGATAGAGACTCGACCGCCGTATCTTTTAAATAAGATTCCACGCTGATGAAGAGGTTGATTTCTGAAGTCACAAACATTATGACTTCTTTTTGAAGGTGCTTATGGTTAAGTACGAGCGGACTACAGATTCGAAAATTTAGTCAGGGTCCGTTTAACGGTTTAGTTGGAATTAGATGGCGACAGAAATAGTATCGCCAGTATAGTCCTGTACTTTAAGAGCCGCCGATATGGATAAGAGCCGGATTAATAGTTGCAACTAGTGATGAGTGCTCACTCCTACGAAGCTTCATTCAATAAGGGTTAGATTTCGCTTAGGGCCCCGCAGCTCGCAGCTAGGTAAGGAGCATCAACAGGCCGATAGTCAAACAACTTATATGAATGCAGGCGATACAACCCATCTTTCCAACTTCTTGAGTTGGTCAACGAGAGTCTGAGAGATAGATACTGATTTTGTGATGTTATTGTGTGAGATGCGAAGAAGTGATGAAATTACCTCATCATTTTTCCAAGCTAGATAACTAAGATAAGTACAAGCGCTAACGAGCAGTCTAAATTCATTGACGGATCTGAACTAAGTCTTAGGGCACCCGACCAAGTTATACGGTATATGAATCCACATCTAGATGCTACTATTTTAAGAAGCACCAACCTTGGAATTTTCCTCGCTTAATTTTCTATTGCTGTATGTAACCGCAACTATTTCATGGTGTCACATTCTAGAGATTATCCATTGCAGTAAACATTGTCACTACGAATCAAGCCTCCCAGACTCCCCATATCTCTTGAACAACCCTCTCCGGTTGCGTGATGGGAAATTCGTGGCCGCCTTCTAGAACTCGCCACACTACGTTCTCCTCGCCAATCGCTGCCTTCGCATCTTCTTCTAATTCGGCTGGGATACTATTTTCAATTAGCACAACAGGTTGCGTCTCAAATCCAAAATTGCAGAAGCTGCTATAGAGAACATCAACTTACATTATAGGATCAGTTCTGCCCGCCAGAATGACCACGGGGCTTCCGAAATTTCTAAGTCGCTCCCAGGTTTGTGCATGACCACTGATACTGCTGTATTTTATGGAACTCGCAAAGCTTCGAATGAAGCCCTTATTGTGTTGAATTTGCCACTGTTGTATCCCAAGTCGTTAGCAGTGATTCGGTTCAGGTTCCCATCTTTCTGCGTGCGTCTTGAAAGACCCTCGACACAAATGTTAAAATGCGTACCTTTACTGCGCTCTCAACCGTCAAATGCGGCTTGTCTTCATTTAAAGGAACGCTGTTGGAATGAGGACTACTCGCTCCGGTTGTGGCTTCAGCCACCACAGCATCCTCAGGGCCAGCGGCGACAGTCTCAGTTGGTTTCTCCCCACGAAGCTTCTGCACAGTATTCGTACCAGCCGGCCCGCTGGTGAGTCTCTTCCTAATGCTACTTTCCAGAATTCTCTGCGGAATGAGACCACTAAACATCACCTTTGAGGACCATCCCAAATGGTGTGGACGCAAGAGACCAGACGGTGCAAGTAAGGCAATCCCCTTCACCAGTTTTGGGAAGTAAGCAGCAAAGTCGGCCGCGATGCCCCCTCCTAAGGAGTAACCGATAATGCTAAATCCATCCGGAGTCCATGCCAAAGGCGAAGAAGTGAGAGCAAGTAGGATTTCCGTGGTATATAATCGAGAATCATATGGTAAATCAGGACTATCCGAGTACCCTCTTCCCCAAAGATCAAGTAGCATGACCCGACAGTTTTTCTTTTCCACCAGTAGACGGGAGATGCTACCTAGGGAGACACAGGGAGTTGATATTCCGTGGATAAGGAGCACTTTTCGTCCAGATTCTGGCCCCCATTCGTAGACTCTGATTGTTCCATACTAGTCATATCGTATTAATGTTGGGATTGTTTTCTGGGGCTGTTAGTCAAATACGAACCGGGCTTTCCACATCCCTTGCCCCTGGGAAGATATCTGGGGGATAGGGAAGTGACTCTTGCTCTTCCTTGGAAAGGTCGGGGAGAAGAGAATTTCTGGGGCCAACTATGATTTTTGGTGGTGTGGGATTCAAAGTTTTCCGGGCGAGGCTCAGTAGAGCAACTGTCGTGACCACGGTTGAAACAACGATAAGGCTGGTCTGAGGAGAGGGCGCCAGGCGCAGGAGGTCGCCCCTCATCTTGAGAGGTTACGTGCTACTTGGAGATCTAAATTCAGTTTGTTGTAAATATCTCAAGATTGTCAAGGACTGATCAGTCGGAAACGCCCGGAGGATTCCATTTCCGTCAGAAAAACGTGACCATGATATCGTTGGCACTTCAGTCTATTCACTGAAACTCAATTTTGACTCGATCATTGTTCCAATTACATCAAAAAACCAGAGTGATTAAGTAAACTCCCTGGGATGATAAAGGCAAATATTGTTAGCCGGGTAGGTTGATCGCTTAGGTTGCATTTATTAGAGCAACGAGGACTGGTTTACTACCACTTTTTCTGTCTGGCAGGAGATGGTTATACTGTAGTACGAATACAGTACGAGTGAGCATTCATCCAAACATCACCACTTACCGGGTAAGCGAATTGCCATGAAATGCCTGTCACAAGTGCATTTGCATTGGACGCGGACATTATTGCGCTATGCACTGGAGCTGGAAACATCCATCACGGCAACCAATCAGTCCGGACGTTTTCAGCATCGGCGTTAATTGTCTTGGTCCTGTTTCTAGTTTCACGGCAGATCCTACTGTACGGTACGGTACTGAAGCCTCGCACTCTCGAGGAATCACTGTCAAGACTCGAGGGAGTCTTCGTACCTCTAATCTGTCCAGTACAGCACGACTAGACGAACTATAAAAGTTTCAATTAGACATTCGGCAATACGCTTCACTCGGCGATGAAACAAACACTGTCACATCTGTCGCGCAAAATTGCCCCTCCCAGTTCGCCTCAGCGCCAACACAGCCCAGCCCAACCTAACCTGTCACGAACACCACGAGAAAAACACCATGCCAGCGGGGAGAAAGCGGCACCCCCTATAAAAAGTTTCATGAGTTCCCTACCGTAGTGGTGATCTCCAGGGCTGTTTGGATGGCGGTTGGTGATGTTGGTGATGGTGGAGGGGTTGAAATGGAGATATACACGTATGCACTAGAACTGATTATGGAGCACTCAGCACCTACCTACCTAGGTACGGAGGTAGAACATATATCTGTGAATCTTTACATCTTTACATCTAACTGTGGCCGAGACCTCCCTGGAAGTAGGGTCGAAAAATCCTACAATTATATATCTATACAAAGCCTGCTCTCGCCTGCTATACATATTTACCTATACACCTATGTCTATTTCTCTTGCACAATTGCGCGCTGTCGTCATTCCCATCTTAGGAGCAGAGGAAAAGCGGCATGAAGGAGGTTGATGGGCTGAGAATCCACTGTATGGACGGAGTATCTTCGTACCTAGGTACCTAGGTACCTAGGTACCTACTCCACACTTCTGACTTCCGTTTCCTGGAAAGGAGAGATTGGTACCGGTCACACTGCCCAACCGATCGGATTATCCTGGATAAAATTCCATAATCGTAATTGTGTTTATGATGCAATATAAAGATTCTTTGTGAAGAGCGAGACTCCGTATACTGTAGCAAGATCTGTGGTCAAAGGGCACATGAAAACATTGCACATGGTTGGCAGCAGAAGGGCTCGAGTCGGCTTTGGCTTCAGCTTCAGCTTCACAAGTCATCGCCGCTTTTGTCTTTTTATCCACCGACCGTGGGCAGCTTAAACCCCCATTCAGCGCAACTTCCATCTGGAGAGTGTCACTGCACCGAATCACTCGCTCATACAGCTTCGTGGACAACACCTAACCCTCTCCTGCTACCAACGTGAAGTACTGCAAATCCGCAGTCCTGTCCTGTCCAAACCGACCAGACCGCGCATTCTCTCCTTTCCACTCCCACTCCCACTCCCTCCTGTACACCGCTGCGACAAACGTTTCCAACCACCTCAGACACGCTGTTCGCGCTTTGCCGCAAGACTCGAGGCTGGAGGACGGTGAAGGGAGAGCATCCCTCAACGGTCCCTTTAGAGGGTACATGTACTGGACTAGACATCGTCGGTCGCCTCGATCTGTACGTGTCTCCCTCTTGACCTTGTGCACCTGAGAGAGAGAATTGTCGCTGAACGCGTTGGTGCTCACAGATCGGATCCCCATACATCACGATACCGATACCCCGCCGCGACAAAGGCGACAACCTCATCGTTTGACCTTGGAATACATACCCCCAGGCGGCAAGCATCTAAGCGACGGACCTCTCAACGTCGGCCAGCATGGCTTCGCAGAACAGGTACGTTATCGTTGGGCTCTCTCGCACAGATCATTATTTGTTACAAGTACAGTTTGCGGAAACACAGGGGATTCAAGTGGACCACTAATCCGCTTTTGCATGGCCGGGCTAAACTCAAACTGGCCTTCACTCTTTGCTGTGAATCAGCTTTTCTCCTCTCACCTCTTTTCATTCATCTTATCGTTCTTTCCAGACGTGACCAGTGACTCCACGGAGCCTATCAATTAATACTGAATATGTTGATAGTATCTACACACCTGGTCAGTTTATGAACCCAGGACCAGCCCCACGGCCTCCCACAGAGCGACCTCAACTGACTCTCACGCCCTCAACTGCAAACCTACCGGGAAACATGTCACAGATGAGCATCAACTCCCCAATCACTCGCACAGCTACCTCAACATATACTGGTTCCACTGTCTCTCTCCCACTTGCACGACAACAAACAAATATGGACGGACAAGGTGGGGTTGCCGTAATCAAGGAAGGCTGGGCTTCCGTCAAAGAGGGGAAGAACTTCATCAGCCCATGGAAGCAAAAATTCCTAATCCTAAGAAAAGAGGCACTGGACTTCCACAAAACAGAAGGCGGCAAACTGGTGTACCAGATAGTATTGAAAGATGTACTAGGTGTCTCCCGTGTTGAGGCCGCAGGTACTATTTTTGAAATCAAAAGAACTTTGAATGGCAGCTCGAACAACCCAGGAGACGATGACGGTCAGGGTGCAAAGACACTTCAGATTAAGGTCAAAGGCGACGACGAACTATACGACTGGATCGATTTTATATATGCAAGGTGCCCTGGAATGGGTGGTGTTAGCAACCCCACCAACTTCAGTCACTCGGTTCATGTCGGATTCGACCCTCAAACTGGAGAGTTTGTTGGTCTACCTCCAGAGTGGTCAAAGTTGCTCAACTCCTCAGCCATTACCAAGGAAGATTATGAGCGCAACCCACAAGCGGTATTTGAGGTTTTGGAATTCTACTCTGATATCACCCAGCGAGCACAGGACCCGAACCAGTTCCCAAGCCTCACACCAACACCACCTCCTGCTGGAAATCAGAGTAAACAATTGGGATATGCGGGCCCTGGAAGTATGGGCGGTATGGGCGGTGCGAGTATAGCTCCTCAACGACCTACTCAAAACGGCCAACGCAATCCTAGCTATGGACCTAATTCAACTTCAAATGCACCCAACCGACCATCCGTTCCTGAAGCCAACCAACAACGCCAGCAAATGCAACAAATGGCTTCAAATTATGTTAATCCCCAGGTGCGTGACGACCAACGCCAAAAGCAGCAGCTTGAGGCGCAGCAACGTCAGCAACAGCAAGAGAGAGAACTGGAACAGCAACGACGAGAACTGGAAGAGTATAATGCTTCTCTGCCAAAAACTCGAGTTCCAATGGCTCAGCAAGAAGTTGGTGGATATGGCGGCGGTGGTCCAGGACCTGACCGATATAACCCAAGTAGAGCTGCGCCTCCTGCCCCACGCCAACCCCAGCAAGCTCAGGCTCCTGCATCACTACGAACCCAAAGACAAGCACCTTCTGCTCCTACCTCAAATGGCCAGGCTCGCCCTCCAGTCTCCACCCAGAAGAGTGCATCTCGCTCGCCAGCAAGACCAGAGCAGCAAACCCAAAGACAAGAACCACGCTACCAAAATGGCGGATCACAACCACAAGCCCGGCAGCCACCGCAAAACGTTCAGCCATCCCGATTACCTGCTCCAGTCAACCAAGTCAAGCCCCTCAATGTTGGCAACAAACAACCTTCCAGCAATGGCCAGTCAAACGACGCAGTTAAGGCAGCGGAGGCAGCTCTTACATCTAAGCCACCGGCAGCTGAAAGACAAAAGGATGTCCGCATGTCTACCATGAGTGAAAGTGAGGTTATGGTCAAACTAAAGGAGGCAGTTTCAAAAGATGATCCTAACATGTCCTATTCAAAGCAGAAGAAGATCGGTCAAGGTGCCTCAGGTTCAGTGTACGTTGCCAAGGTCAAGGAGAATCCTTTGTCCCCAGTTGCAAGAGAGGTTTTACGACAACAAGGCAGCAAAGCCCAAGTTGCTATTAAGCAGATGGATTTGGCACACCAGCCAAGAAAGGAGCTAATTGTAAACGAGATCATGGTGATGAAGGACAGCAAGCACCCAAACATTGTCAACTTCTTGGACGCTTTCTTACGAAATAACTTTTCTGAGTTGTGGGTGGTAATGGAATATATGGAGGGTGGTGCTTTGACTGATGTTATTGACAATAATCCAAACATCACTGAAGATCAAATTTCTACTATTTGTCTTGAGGTAAGTTATCCGAAGAATCATTCTTTTCTGTTTACTAATAACCACTAGACTTGCCGAGGTCTGGAGCATTTGCATCAACAGAGCATCATTCATCGTGATATCAAGAGTGACAACGTTCTCCTTGATGCCCGTGGAAATGTCAAAATCAGTATGTATACACCTGTGTATCGCTTAGCGGAAACTATACTAACAAATTTTTAGCTGATTTTGGTTTCTGCGCAAAACTTACTGAGTCTAAATCAAAGCGTGCAACCATGGTTGGAACACCCTACTGGATGGCTCCTGAAGTTGTAAAGCAAAAAGAGTATGGTCCTAAGGTCGACATTTGGTCATTGGGTATCATGGCCATAGAAATGATTGAATCAGAGCCACCCTACTTGAATGAAGAGCCACTCAAGGCACTTTACCTCATTGCGACAAATGGAACGCCTCGCTTGAAGAAACCAGAAAAATTGAGCAAGGAGCTAAAGGCATTCCTATCGGTTTGTCTGTGCGTTGACATCAGAAGCAGAGCATCCGCCAACGAGCTTTTACAACACGACTTTTTGAAGCATGGTTGCACCCTTGGTAGTCTGTCAGATCTCCTAGCATTCCGAAAGAACGGCAAATAAGTCAAAAATAAAGCCACCTAATCAATTTTGCTTTGCTCATAGCATATTGGCGATTTGATTCTTTTTCAATATTCGGACGATTTGCGTCTTGGCCCGAGAGGCTAGCTATGCATCAAAGAATTCATGTTGGTCATCAGATTATATATGATTCACATGAGTTATTACACGGAGTTAGGGGGGTGGACATACATTTGCCTTTGGTCAGGATTCACACAGCCTTTGTTTAATTTCTCCAGCGTGTTGTGGGCGATTGTTTCTTCACTCTGGTTCCAAAAGGCCTCACCATTCTTCACATAAAGGTTATAAGGCAGATTTCAGGGAAAAGGCGAAGAAAGAAGAGATTCTAGCTTTGCATTTTGTGTTTAGTTTTTTTTCCCTGGGGCTTTTTTCTTCCTCCTTTATTTTGCTGCCATTGTTCAGTTCTTCCGTCTCTTTGTGGAGAGAGTACTTTGCATACCTCTGAGACTGGGATGTGGTTGGGAGGGAGAGGAGTTCAGAGAAGAGAATTTAGGGGGAGAGGTTGAGTGCATCAGATGAACGAGCGTTGAAAACACCTTAGATGAATATAATGTGATGAATGCAATTTTCTATGGGTTTTCCCTTTTTTTTCTTCACGGGTATCTGAGCACGTTTTTTTATATGAGAAGACATTTGATTTAGAGAGTCATAAGTATTGCAAAGATTTAAGAGGCTTCTTCTTCTATTCAATACGATGTGTTCAGTGTATGAACGGAGGGAATACGACTTATTCCTTAGAGCTGCGTTTTGGGCTGCGGCTCATTGCTTTTGCTTTCTAGAAACACATGTATCGTTAGTCGACAGAGGGGTTGGTGTTGGCCATGATCTTTTCAATTAGCTGGTCGACTGGTTGGGCTATGCTGCCTGAGAATTGGGTGGCTTTAAACACCTAGGAAAGCTTCTTTTGGAAATTTTGGGAGGCGTATATAATTTAAGTAGTTGAGTTGAGTAGTGGCACCTACTCAACTAGAGTAGCGAAAATCCATATTCAACTCGATTTGGCAAGTACTTTATTGACTTAATTACTACCAACGTTCGACAACTAGAATGCTATTCGATTCCAGAGCCCTCCTCTGGAAGTTGTCTATTCCATTTTAGGATTTGCTAGAATTATTCCATTCTAGAGGTATATATTCTATGGAATATATGGAATTTCTATTCGGAACGTTACATAACCCAAAAATATGTACTAGGCCTGGTAGGTTAGTTATTACAAGTACCTTTTATATATAGGGAGTAGGGAGAAACTCCTTAGGACTAGTGATATGATATATAGAGTATAGGTATAGAAAGTCCTAGATATATTATGTGAAGATTTTCTTTTAAGTCTATATAAATACTGATATTTATTTGAATCTATTGATATTTAGTATTACGTGGAATTTTGTAGAAATCCTGGAATTCTAGAGATTGATTGATGGAATGGAATGGTTCTATTATATAGGTGCTCTGGAGGATTCTAGGTGGAATGGAATGGAATGATTATATGGAATATTGTTCTATATGTGCTGAATGTTGATTACTACTTAGATAGTGTGGAATAAATCGGTCCAGAGTGTTAGTGTAGGTTGAATGGAGTGAGGCCTGGTTTGTTTATTTGTGACGTTTGTTGTTAATAAGATACGTCTTTGAATATGTTTTGATGGACTGGTTCTTGATAGTGTGATCCCTTTGTGAAAGTTGGATAAGGACAAGTCGTGAGGTGTCTCGAAACTTTGGAATACCTTCTTTAGATTTTGGGAGATATGGTTGTAGAGGTTTTGGTGACATGTCCTTGTTGTCAATGCTCCATCTTCTATAACATCTTGATATTCAACCTTCGGGCTGTCCTAAAGTTTTGTCACCTGCGAAATTCCTGAATAGGGAGGGTTTTTTTCAGCTGTGATATAGAGGTGCCTGATTATCATATTTGAATAGTTACTAGAAGCTCGTGGATCATTTTCACATCACTAGCAAGATGATTAGACCCTTGTTGGTGGCATTTTGCTTTAACACTTGAGAGGGGAGAAAATTCCCTCCCTGGATAATGAGTATATGCGAGAGAATATTCTGAGCAAATTTTGAATAGTACTTGTATGTATATTCGGTCCGCAAATTAGCGAGCTGAGCTGAGAGAAGATATCAAGCTGCGCGTGATATGTATGTAAGAAAATATTGAGAAGGAGAAAACAAGTTCAGGGTTACGGGGTTTTCACACTACAGACTAGCGTGCTCGTTTACTGTGGGCGGGCGGGGTAGGAGGAAACAGGCAGAAATCTATTTACGGAGTAGAGAAGCTTTGTTCTGTAGTGAAACTTAACAAAGCTTCTCTACAGTAATCTTCCAGGTAGAAATAGTACGGTAATGCATAGGCCTGGTTCAATACCAACGAGAAGAAGCACTTGGCTCGAGGTTTGAATTTGATAAAGCTTTGAGTATGCCAAATTCCTTGGATGGTGGTAGTACACAATCATGAAGTGGATGCAATCGTGACTTACATCACGTGCATGTAATATTGTTTTCTGTTTTTAGTGCATTATGACAGGCTGAAATGGTATCGGAAGAAAACATACTGCAGCCTTGACTGTCATACCACACACCTCATGCATTCACAACTCAAAGCTCGTATCGCCCTCAATTCAAGTAATGCGCACAGTGAGGCCGTACCACATCGTTGCTGCTAGAGGTCAAACGGGGGCTGCGGCGCTTGCCACAGGGAGTCGCCTGAATAAGTTTCCGCAAAAAGGGGAGTCTCGTATTTGTGGGTTGAGCTGACAACCGAGGGAGAATGAGTCGAGGCAACCACCACTTCCAACGAGCGCATCGCACAGCAAAAGCAGACACGACTCCAGATGATGTACGGCGTATCTATACATCCTTCACCAAGCTTTACACCACCCGAGGATGTGCAGCAATCTCGGTACAGAGCACAACATCGCAACTCTAAAGAGTATAACCTTGCTCTGGAGTTGGAATTACCGAGGTGAGCCGCTCAAATTGCAGCCTTACGCGTTCGTGGAGTGGGAATTGGAAGGCACTCGGATGGATTCAGGGGAGGTGAGGGATGTCAAAGGGGACCCTGCGCTACAACTCGAAAAAGCACAAAGACCGAAACGAACCCGACTGAACAAGGATTGGCGCATATAGGTATGTGGGCCGCTGACTGCTGAAGCATCCCCTTCCATTTCCAATCACGGTTGAGAATTGCGGAAGGATTCCGAGCAAATTTTGGGTGGTGATGGTGGTGTAAACACCAGCACAAGTCATCCGTACACGGGGAACGCTCCCACCAGTTCCATCTAGGAGAAGACGCCCTACCTTTGACAACTGCATTCATAGCTGCAATGGAATTATCATCTGATAGCAAGGTAAGCATATTTTGGGTTTCAAATATCCGATGAGGGTGGCGCCGTACCGGTAAACTGCCCCGATGCGTCTGGATCAACATGATCTGCTCAGGATTCTGTCCCTGTCTGCCATGTTCGTTTCTCTCGCTTACGTACAGAGAGCGGATTTGGGTTCCTGCGAAACCTGAACAAGTGTACCGAGAACGTACGTTATACGTACCTGAATTTGCTTTCGAGTTTCCACTTTCCTCCGCAATCCTTCCTTGTCCTGCTTGGTATTCTTTTTGGCATTTTTTCTGCTTATTTTCAAGTAATTACCACCCTCTCTAGCGTGTATTTCAGCCGCGTTTGGGGTTACAAAATAAATTCTGAGATTTACTTCTTGCTGCTTCTATACGCTGCTCACAGCATTTGTCGACATGACGGCCCGTTCAAGCGGACGCAAGCCAAGTGAAGCTCTACGAAGTAAGTTGGTGCTCGATGTGTGAGGGGTACCCTTGAAAAATACCCAAAATGTAACCGTCTGCCCTATCATAATGGATGCACGTTCGCCCGCTCACAACAGGGATTCTGACCATTACCCACTTAACAAAAGATTACTGCGCTAGTGTGCTGTCTGTGCATGTTGATTGTAGGGAATACTAGCGCTGACTTTCAATTCATACATAGAGCTTCACTCCTCCGCGAAGTCACTCTTTCACTCGTCAACTATTTCTTCATTGAAAAGTTACTTGAACATCTAATCGCAGTCCTTCGTTTTATCTGCGTCAAACCGACTTGCTGCTGCTTAATATTTTGCTTTTTTTTACTGCCCCCTAATCTAATCATGAAATACACAACCATTATTGTCGGCGCTATCGCCTCTGTCACCAGCGCTCACAGCGTCTCCAGTGATGCCAATGCCGTCGTTCCACAATTGCTGGGTGGGAGAAAGTTCCTCTCAGAGATGAAGGCTCGAGGCGCTTTGCCAGATGCAGCTGTTCCAGCTCACATTGAAGCCAAGCGCGAAGTTGTGGAGAGACAGAATACCGAGGGAAGATGCGGACCCGGGTTTGGATCGTGCGCGACAGGATGCTGCTCAGGTGCTGGGTAATTATTCCCTCCTTTTGAAGGTAGCATGTGTTATTTGAAGTCTTGGACTAATGAAACTGATCAGATGGTGTGGAATTACCGAGGAATACTGCGCTGCCCCGGACTGCCTCTATCAATATGGACCCGGTTGCGATGCAAACAAAATTCCTGCCGGAGCATCTACCGCAAGCATTGCCAGACCAAAGGTTGGAAGTGTCCCATATGGTGGAGCCGGGATTTACGACTGCTCGGTTGCTGGAGGTGAGATACCCTGTCTGAGAGTATACTTCAAATACTAAATTGTCGCCTAGATATTGCCCTCACTTTTGATGATGGACCATACTCATACACCTCTGATCTGTTAGACAAACTTGCTGTCTATGGGGCTAAAGCCACTTTCTTCATTAGTATGTTCAAATTCCTGGCTCGAAACTTGATACCAACCACAATACAGCTGGAAACAATCTTGGAAAGGGTGCGATCGACACCACTCCGCAGTGGTCAGACATCATCAAGCGTATGGCTGCAGAAGGTCACCAAATTGCTTCTCATACCTGGTCTCATCAGAATTTGTCCTCCTTGGACCCCGTAACTTTCGACAACCAAATGATTCACAACGAAATGGCTATCAGAAACATTCTTGGATATTTCCCAACATATATGAGACCTCCTTATTCCGAATGCAACTCTACCTGTGGTGCCCGTCTCGCAAACCTTGGATATCACGTTACGTGTAAGTACACTGGAGGATTTTCATGAGGAATAAGATGTTCATTTGTACTAATCCTTGATTAGACTTTGACTTGGATACCGCTGGATACTTGAACCCAACCCCAGAATCGATCCAAAACTCAAAAAACATTTGGGATGCTGCAATCAACCCTTCCAACCCTGGGCGTGACGCTTTCTTGCAAATTGAACACGACATTCAACCGTTGAGTGTCTACAACCTCACTGACTATATGCTTGCTTCCATGCGGGCAAAGGGATATAGAGGTGTCACCGTCGGTGATTGTCTTGCCGACCCAAAGGCAAACTGGTACCGTGGAAACACTCCAACTACTCCAACACCACCTACCGGGGGATTGGCCATTAGCACTGATGGGACCTGTGGAGCAACCACTACCTGCGTAGGATCAACATTCGGTAACTGCTGCAGCCAGTACGGATGGTGCGGTAGCACTGCAGACCACTGCGGAGCTGGATGTCAGGCTGGATCGGGAACTTGCACCGGTTCACAGGTACGCTAGCTGTTTTCTTCTCTACTTGTCAACTCCTTGGTGGCTACGCCGTTGAAAGAGCGTAAAGTGAATTCCTTCAAGAAGGCAAGGGCATAATTTAAAGTCTATATCTACTCATGTTTTCTTTTGTGTTTTTTTTTGGCCTCATCGTCCAACGAAATATCGATTTCCATCCCCACGTCACAAGAATCAAAACTTTTTCAAGTCAAAATCTGACATTTTCTGCAAAGACTCCTCCAACCACACCAGCAAAGCCAGTTTCCACCGATGGAACTTGCTCTAGCACAACTACTTGTGCTGGCTCCACGTTTGGAAACTGCTGGTAAGTACACCTAGACCTTTCGAAAGGGTTACATTGCTAACGAGTTTTCCAGCTCCCAGTATGGATGGTGTGGAACTACCGCTGATCACTGCGGCACTGGCTGCAACCCACTCGGTGGAACTTGCAACTAAAGACATACAGTTTTCTTTTGAATAATGAGCTAGGACTCGGGATGATTTGATATATACATGAACCGAAAAAGTGAATTGATGGTTGTTACAAAAATAGGAAATGTATGTAGTGGTATGGAACCTTTGAACACTTTAGCTAGTGGTTTAATGTGTTAACGATAATACAACTTTTTTTTGTCACGCAAGTCTGATCATTTCATGTTACATTGTGAAGACAAAACTCGCTCATTATATTATGGAATGGACTTAAGCACGCACGAGTGGAATATTGCTTGATTTGTTTGTCATTTCGTTATTGTCAACCTTGAAGAGAACCCCGTAGTTCTATCGCTGCAGGAAGTTACAACCGTTATAGACCGATGCGACTGTATTAGTATTGTCTTAATCTATATAACGTACTTCATAAGGAGTCCGGATTTATAAGCAGTCCGGATTTTTTACCCCACCATTGACCACCCTACACACTTTCAATCTACATAACTTACCCAATTATTGTTCAAATGTCTCGAAAAGAAGGTCAAATTGCTCTTGCAATCAATGCATACAATAAGGGTCAATTTACAAGCTTAAAAGCAGCTTGTACAAGGTACGACGCGCCATATTCTACTACTTACGACCGCGTCAAGGGAGCTATTCCACAACGCGATTTCCGACCCCGAAACCAGAAACTCACCGACCTCGAGGAATCAGCACTTATACAATGGATGTTATCAATGGAAGCTAGAGGTCTGCCAGTACGGAAAGATTCGATACGCCAAATGGCCGATTTACTACTGGAAAAGCGAACTGGAGTAGGTCGAATTATTGTCGGAAAATGCTGGGTTGACAACTTTATAAAGCGCCACGACTCTTTACGGACGAAATACACTCGTAAATACGACTATAAGCGCGCAAAATGCGAGGATCCTACGATTATCCGAGATTGGTTTCGATTAGTACATAATATTGTTGCGAAATATGGTATACTAGCGGAGGATATATACAATTTCGACGAGACTGGCTTTCAGATGGGAGTAATTGCGACCGCAAAAGTTGTTACAGGGTCAGAATATACAGGACGGGCTATTCATATACAACCAGGGAATCGCGAATGGGTTACAGTTGTCGAATCAATTTGTGCAGATGGATGGGTGTTGCCTCCAATGGTTATATTTGAGGGCAAGGTGCATATATCGACTTGGTATACAGATCAATTACCAGCAGATTGGACAATTGCACTTAGTGATAAAGGGTGGACCAATGATTCCTTAGGTCTTAAGTGGCTTTCAGACGTATTTGAGAAATATACCAAGGACCGTGTAAAAGGAGTATATCGACTTTTAATCCTCGATGGCCATGGTAGTCATTCTACTCCCGAATTCGATCTTTTCTGTTCAGAACATAACATCATAACGCTTTGTATGCCACCGCACTCATCTCATCTTTTACAGCCATTAGATGTTAGTTGCTTTGCAGTTTTAAAGCGACTTTATGGACGAGGAGTCGAGGAGCTAGTACGAGCCGGCACATATCATATCGATAAACCAGACTTCCTTTCAATATATCGTGTAGCCCGTACAAGTACTATGGTCAAAAACACAATCTGTAATGGATTCGCAACTACTGGCCTTGTCCCGTACAACCCAGATCAAGTATTGAGTAAATTACATACTCAATTACATACGCCTACTCCTCCTTTACTTTCTCCAAACCTACTACCTTGGGTCCCTGAGACACCCCATAATACATATGAGGCAGATCAGCAAACCCAGACAATTAAAGCATCTATTAAACGACGTACAAACGTTCTCTCAAGCCCTACTGCTATTGCATTAGATCAATTGGTTAAAGGGTGTAAGATGGCTATGCAATCAGCTACGGTTTTGGCAGAGGAAAATCGACGTTTACGAGCTGAATCTGAACGTCAAAAGAAGAAGAAGACTGTGCGACGTCAATATATTGCTACTGGGGGTGTTCTTACAGGTCAGGAAGGGAGGGAACTTATTCAAAATAGTGATAATATGGTTTTGGATGAAGCTGTGGCCCCGCTAATTGAACCACGAATTCGTGCACCACGAACCTGTAGTATATGTAGATCACTAGCGCATACTGCTCCTAGGTGCCCAGATCGAGAATAAGAAAGATAGTATAGTTTATATAAATAAATATTAAGTGATTAAAGCTCTATGGTTTTTAAAAGTTGGATGGTGGGGTAAAAAATCCGGACTGCGTATAAATCCGGACTCCTTATGAAGTACGTTAAAGTGGTTCGCTAAGCTTACAACTGTCGTAAAATTCCAACTGTAATGAATATGGGGCTTCTCCATTAGAATATCGGTAATTGCCTAAACCATGTCAAGGTAGGGAGGGGGTTGATGAATAGATTGTTCGCAAAGCTCTCCAGTCTACAGTTCGAAGCTGAATTACATACAACAGGAATGGTCCAAGCACTCCCCGTGACTTCCAAAGCTACCATATTCACTTAATCAAAAACCTTTGCATAAGGTCCCCCTTTCCTCCAAATCCCACTGACAATTCCGGCCCCAAAATTCTAGCTCAGCTACACTCAAATATGGGGTTCTACAGACACGTCCACCACTTTCTTATGCTCCTTGAGAGCCTTTTGACGCTCGACCTTGGTAGGAGAAGGTTTATTGGCGAAGTCCTTCTCGTATTGGCGTATTGATTGGTGTGCGTTAATAACGTTTGATAGTGGCTCCCAGGAGTCGTGAGTCTCGTTGTAACCCCGCCAGCGGATCAGATACTGGAATTTGCTCCCTCTTCTTCTAGAATTAAGAATCTTCTCAATTGCCCACAGAGTCTCACCACTCTCATCTATTGCGATTGGTGGTGGTGGGGGGTTATACTGGCCAGGGAGGGGCGTTCCCGCTGCCGGCCGAAGTAGGTTGGTATGGAACACTGGATGAATTGAGTCGAGTTCGCTAGGCAGTTGTAACTTGTAAGAGTGTGAATTGATGATTTGAATTACTCGGAAGGGGCCAATATACTTGGCATCAAATTTGGGTATTGGCCTGGGGGAAGTAATATTTTTAGTGCTCAAAAGGACTAGGTCCCCAATCCGGTATGCTGGTGCTGGTTGTCTATTTGCGTTTGATGAGCTTTCCATCTGGTCTCTCGCGGCTAGTAGATCAGTGCGTAACTGGCTGAGAATC